TAGATTCATCGTTCATCAGCCAATATTACAGAATTGTCCACTGAACTCGCGCAAGAAGCTGTTTCGAGATGGGCATATGTATATGAATATATATATATATATATATATATATTTATATATATATATATATATATATATATATTATATATATATATATATATATATATATATATATATATATATATATATATATATATAGTGGGAGTAATAATTCAATGGGCCAGTTAGTCTTCGTGAAGGTATGGGATATGGCACAACGGGAGCGTTGTCAACAAGGATAAATATATTTATTTCCCAACAGTTTCGGGAGGGGACCTCCCTTCATCAGGGGATGAGTTATACTGACATGAACTTCCTTGCTGCCGCGTCCCTCTCGCCTTGAAAGACGTTTGCGAGAGTGAGAGGGAACTGGAAGAAGGAAAAAAAGAGAGAAAAAAGACGAAAAAGAAAGAAAAGAAAAAAAGTAAAAAGGAAGAACCACTGTCAACACTGCGAACGAAGCCAACTGTCCGTCTACATATATATATATATATATATATATATATATATATATATATATATATATATATATATATATATATATATATATATATATATATATATATATATATATATATGTAGCCAACTGCCCCCCCCCCCTTTTTTTTGTCCTCTCGCTGTTACTGTGCTCTCGTTATTTAAGCTAATAATAATAATAATAATATTTATTAATTTATATTTCATCAATGGGGGAGACAGCGAGTAAAATTTGCTTGACACACACTTTGGCTTGCCGCCACCGCTGAAGTCTATTGAGAAGTAGAAAAGTATCACGCGAAACACACATTCAGAATACAAAATCTTCAAAAAAAAAACAATTAACGCCATACTTTCCCAGAAAACAATCGCATGAAAATCGCTTGAAAAAATAACAATATAATAAGTCTATCTATCACGCGAACATCCATTGAGGAAACGCTTACTGAGTATATAACTATTGCTGTTATACGTTTGGCTGTCTGTATACTGTTTCCCGATGCGTGAGCATGCATTCTGAGGTTCCGATCACTTCTTTGATTTTCGTTTAAGCGTCTAATTACAAACCAGCAACCACCCATCTGAGGATTTACAGCATTCTAAAATGAATAACTAATAAATGTACCAAGCAGGCATGAGCCCGTGAATACAGTTGAAAAATACACCGTCGCCCGACTCCGGAAAGGCAGGCATCAATGGTCGATATAAAAATTCGGCAGATCCCGCGTAACTGGGAATCCGACGTTATGCGAAGCATGCGGAGGGAAGGTGACCGTGTTTCAGCTTCTTTATTGAGCGACATGTCATGAAATGGCGCTAAGTATATGTACAAATGTTGTATCCGACAGACATTATGTTGAAGAGTTGCAGATGTTTATATAACCAGTTGTTGTCAACTGGAACATGCGTATAAATCAACTTCAGCAAATAGTGCACCTAACCACAATTGACGTTAACCCGACGTGACGGCTGTATCGAAAGAGTACGTATGAAATGTTTATAAAATTGGATAGGCAGCACTGCAACCGCTATTGACGTTTCACGAAGATTAGCGTCTATTTGAGAAGTAGTTCCGAGACCTGGCGTAGCTCTGTGGTAGAATGCTTCAATGCCACGCAGAATGCTTGGGTTCGATTCCAGCTGGGACCCTGACATTGGCTACCGATGTTGGGTACTGCTTAACGCTCACGCGTTAAAATTGCCCATGTTTGTTCTCGTCGTTCCTGGGTAGATACTAAGTGTAAATCACCTGTGGCACATACTCGCAAACCAGCGGCCCATACCCGACCGTGGGTATGTGGCACTGTCTGGCGGGAAGTCTTTGACGAAGTACGGGACGAGGTTGTGGAATTATTCATGTATTGGCCAACGCGTCATATTCGTCATACCATCTCGCCCTCCCATGCTAATTTTGGTTCATGCCAAGGTATACGGGGGCGATCACGAGAGCACCCAAACGTAATGGGCTAAATAGATAGATAGATGAGCTCAAAGTCACCAAAGTTCGCTAAGAAATGCTTCGCATTTAGTAAGACGGTAAGTTGGGCCAGTTGGTTAGGATACATCGGGAACTTACTTACAGCGCAACACCAGAAAAAATACAGGACAGGAAAGGAGCAAAACAGAAAAGAAAACACAGCACCGTCTTTTCTTTTCTCTTTTGCTCGTTCCCTGTCCTGTATTTTTTCTGGTGTTGCGCTGTAAGTAAGTTCACTTCGCATTTAGTATTGTATACGAGCGTCTTCATGGCTTTACGGCGGACGCGAGCTCCAACTGCCTCTAATAAACTGCTACGTGGAGTACTGTGTCCTGTTATTATTCACTGCCCTCCTCTGTAACTGTTTCAAGTTGCTGTGCCAGCTCAGCAAGACATCCTCGTTAGCACCGCGACTGTCAGAATGGCACTATACTGTGTCTTTCTACAGTATATAGGTGCATACCGCACGCTCTATTGAGTTTCGATCGGGAGTGGAACTCGCACCGAGTTTTTAGTTTGTCACTCAGTACTTAATGAACTGCTGGGACGTGTTGAGAGAAAGTGTTGGGCGATGTGGAGTACCTCGTACCTTACTCGACCTGTATGGACAGATAACACCGGTGTATGAATCTGTGGCCTCTGCCGTTTTCTAATTTGTTATAAATAGTAGATTCGAACAATTAAATTACCGGTGTTCTTGTCGCCACCCAGAAGCAAGTGTGCACCGTCTACTCCTCGAGGGCGCGAAATATGGTTCAATAAGAAAACTATTACGAGGGAATATGTTACCGTTATATAGAAAACCATCAACTATAACGAAAATAGTTGGTGCATGGGCAACGGTGGGCCCTTCAGAATAATTTTTTTTTCGCCTAGAATCGTATCGGAGAAACAAATACCTTATGGAAACGTTGAGGTATTTTTTTGTTTGCTGGAAGCATAATGCGCAACAATATCTCAGCATGCGTGCAGATTTGTATAGTTTTGCTGTCATTTGTCTTTATGTGCAACTATTTGTCTTTTTGTGTGTTTTTTGCCACGTACGACATAATCATGTATATTAGAGCAAATGTCTTCACTGTAACGTAGTGATGTTAGTCGTGAAATATAGATGTGCCGAAGTGTATGTGCCCTGTTACTGGAATGATATGAAGCCTTTGTGTTCTGTACATGCTGTAAATAATTTTTTTTCTGAACACGACAAGCCGTACAGAACATCTGACGTCGCAGGTCAAACGTGTACCCTCATTTCACATACTTCAATTCGTGCTCGATCTCGCGCCTGTTAGTCGATCACGGTCTGTAAGATTGCAGTGCGATAGCACACTTTGGGTTCTACTGTATGACATATTTTGTGCCCATTTTACTTTTCTTCGAAACCACATGTTTGATTTACTAAGCCACAAGGAGTAGAACGTGCTGCCATAGATGCACGAACCTCTCATAATTCAGCAATTAACAAAATGTTTATGCTGTGTAAGTTTTTTCTGTCATGCTTGTCTCACAGATGGAGAACAACTACGTGGTGACGAATAACAAGTAGAAGACATACTGCTCGTTTAAGGACCGAGAAAAGAGTAAGACCATTGATAACCAACCTATATACATAGTACATTTTTCCCTTAGATATTTGACTGTGTAAACATAAGTTTTCAACAAGGTAAAAGAAATCAACACCAGACAAGCTATTCTTTAGCGAATTTCAACTTAGTTGAAAAAAGTGGTCATATCTTTTGTCATGATACCTGCTGCGCACGCCAAGAAATCAACCGAAAGCACTATTAAACGAAATCTGTTGCCGGTATTTTGTGACAGTACGTAAAACTGCAACGTAGCATTCCTAAGAAACTGCTGAGAAACGGGCGCGGTGTGTGTGTGTGTGTGTGTGTGTGTGTGTGTGTGTGTGTGTGTGTGTGTGTGTGTGTGTGTGTGTGTGTGTGTGTGTGTGTGTGGTGTGTGTGTGTGTGTGTGTGTGTGTGTGTGTGTGTGTGTGTGTGTGTGTGTGTGTGTGTGTGTGTGTGTGTGTGTGTGTGTGTGTGTGTGTGTGTGTGTGTGTTGTGTGTTGTGTGCGTGCTGTGTATGTTGTGTGTCTGTGCGTGCGAAAATTTTGTTGTGGAATAACAACTATGTATCACTATATCACTATTTAACACCTACGCCTTTTGACATGGTGTACAACTCCGACCGCTGCTCCAACAGGAATGAGACTGTGAGCAAGCGCCATCTATTTTTAAAGGACGAATGTTGTCAGCCTTGGAGCGGTTCTGGCTATCACGCGCGCTTCGCAATCTCAGAGGTCACTGGCACGTTTTACTAGGTCGCCCCCAGGAGGCAGCAACAACCAAAGTTTTTCTTTTAAAGGTGAATGAAAAGTAGCGGTAAGCTGTTGACTACAAAAAAAGAATTGTTTCAAAGAATGCGAAAAAAAAACCATGACAGCAGTGCCGTAGGCCAAGGCCTTTTTTTTCTTGGTGGGGGGGGGGGGGGGGGGAGAACGTTTGTTCATACAATCTCTATGCATATTGGTGTTTGTGTTTGCGCGAGTGTACGTGCGTGTATGTGTGCCCATGCGAAATTGAAAATTTTTGGAGGGGGCGAAATGGGCTCTCTGACTGAAGCATCCCCACCCATGTAGTACAGGCTAGCAAACAGATTAGGCTCCCCGTCGCTGATATATATATATATATATATATATAATATATATATATATATATATATATATATATATATATATATATATATATATATATATATATATATATATATATATATATATATATATATATATATATATATATATATATATATAGGAGGTGTAACCTTCGAACTTACAATCAAGTATCCATGTTAGTGATGCTATCCGGGTTTATTTGTTAAACGTAGAGTCGATAGTATGGTACTGTTGATGAATTTAAAAAACGTGCAGGAGAATGTAAAATTATAGTGGTGTTCGTTTGGAGATTGATAGTGTACGTCACTTGTTCTAACAAAAAAATAGTTAAACACATCGTAGGCATGTACATTATATTATTGCAGATCACAGCTCGCTAGCACAGGAACCTCTTCAGCTTTCCTTTGAAGTGAGCCCACTTCTTGATTATGGCGTAGAGCAAGTTGCCAGGACAGGTGGTGCAGTTGGCGTCTCGGTGACCATGGAGCGAGTACCGTCTGTCGATCTTCCCCTAAATCCAAGAGGAATAACAAGAGATAAGATCGACATCGATAATGCTTAAAAGCTTCCGAGCTTTTCGCCACGTTTGAACCCCCGCGAACAGTCAGATTTGCTCTTTTCATGCATCTAACCTTTGGTGCTATCTGGGCATCAGTGGACGTCACCATACTGGGACCATTTTTTCATGGTCTCGATTTGAGCCAATCAGGATGGTCCAGGAAGGCCTCTCGACTAATCAGTGCTGGCAAAATAACAAATTTGACAGTGTTTTGGCCGTGGTTCGAAATATTCAAATTGTGTTCCACACGAAGTTTTCAGAAAGGCGTTAAACCTACCTTTTTTTTTTTTATTCAAATGGAACCGTCATTTTGCATTGCATGGTCACGCCGTGAAGGACATACAGAAGAGGCTCCCTAGTTCACAAAACTGCACCATGACCCTCCGTAAATGATTATTAAGCACAGTTGTGGTTCAAGATGCAGGCAAAATGGGGAAATCCATTACACGTTGTCGCAGCCGATCTATGACATCTTAACTGCGACATTTTTCCCGACGGTTGTGGAATGTTATGTAGCGTGGCGATCATTTTCATTTGTACGACTGGAAATGGTCACCATACAACAAATAGTGTAGTTTCTGCAATGGGTAGAAACTCGGCACAGATGAAAGTTATGTGGCAAAGGAAAGCTTTTTTTCGTAATTTCATTGCCGAATGGATGGGATTAAGCGTTAAGCAAATCTCAATGGTGGATGAGGATCGCCTAAATGGTAGGGCCGTCTGACTATACCTTCATATATTCAACAACAGTTTAAGTTCACTCAATTTGAAAAATTTGGGCCCACAAAATGAAAAAAACGTGCCATAAGAAATTATTTGTTAATGGAAAGTCCTTACTGATAGGGCTAGGTCATTTAAATATTTTGAAGTGTTGTTTCAGTAAAATGATGCAGAAGCGTATCAAGAGGCTGATCTGAACAACATACACAAATCTCAATTCACTTCTTATAACAGAATCACGCGCATTGGGAGAAGGTGGTGGCATATTCGGGTTGTCGTTTGAGAGCCCTTTGAGTATGTTTAAAACCTTTGAATACAATGGCTGTACAGATCTGATGGAAGAAGTAGTAGGTATTCAGGTCACTTTTTTCATTCGTTCTCATCTGCTGGCCCGTTGACTTTCGTATAGTAATACTCAGTTGCTGTTTCACCTCAATTTTCACCATCTTTCATAGTTGAGAAACGTATCACCAGCTAAAATGACATAAAGCAGGTCTACAAGCCTTAGAGAGGCGCGAATACTCACCACTGTAAGAGAGATTAAGTAAAGAGCAGGCAATTGCGTGGCGGCGATTGCCAACGCATACTTCCTCAAATCTAGGTATGCTTCGTCTCTGTTACGACAATCTTTGTTAGACAACGGCAACTGCCAACGCAGACTTCCTCAAATCTAGGTACGCTTCGTCTCTGTTACGACAACCTTGTTAGACAACGGAAATTGCCAACGCATACTTCCTCAAATCTAGGTATGCTTCGTCTCTGTTACGACAATCTTTGTTAGGCAACGGCAATTGCCAGGACAGGTGGTGCAGTTGGCGTCTCGGTGACCATGGAGCGAGTACCGTCTGTCGATCTTCCCCTAAATCCAAGAGGAATAACAAGAGATAAGATCGACATCGATAATGCTTAAAAGCTTCCGAGCTTTTCGCCACGTTTGAACCCCCGCGAACAGTCAGATTTGCTCTTTTCATGCATCTAACCTTTGGTGCTATCTGGGCATCAGTGGACGTCACCATACTGGGACCATTTTTCATGGTCTCGATTTGAGCCAATCAGGATGGTCCAGGAAGGCCTCTCGACTAATCAGTGCTGGCAAAATAACAAATTTGACAGTGTTTTGGCCGTGGTTCGAAATATTCAAATTGTGTTCCACACGAAGTTTTCAGAAAGGCGTTAAACCTACCTTTTTTTTTTTTATTCAAATGGAACCGTCATTTTGCATTGCATGGTCACGCCGTGAAGGACATACAGAAGAGGCTCCCTAGTTCACAAAACTGCACCATGACCCTCCGTAAATGATTATTAAGCACAGTTGTGGTTCAAGATGCAGGCAAAATGGCGAAATCCACTACACGTTGTAGCAGACGATCTAGGACATCTTAACTGCGACATTTTTCCCGACGGTTGTGGAATGTTATGTAGCGTGGCGATCATTTCATTTGTACGACTGGAAATGGTCACCATACAACAAATAGTGTAGTTTCTGCAATGGGTAGAAAATTAGCACAGATGAAAGTTATGTGGCAAAGGAAAGCTTTTTTTTTGTAATTTCATTGGCGAATGGATGGGACTAAGCGTTAAGCTAATCTTAATGGTGGATGAGGATAGCCTAAATGGTATACGGCCGTCTGACTATACCTTCATATATTCAACAACAGTTTAAGTTCACTCAATTTGAAAAATTCGGGCCTAGAAAATGAAAAAAAAAACGTGCTAAGAAATTATTTGTTAATGAAAAGACCTTACTGATAGGGCTAGGTCATTTAAATATTTTGAAGTGTTGTTTCAGTAAAATGATGCAGAAGCGTATCAAGGGGCTGATCTGAACAACATACACTAATCTCTATTCACTTCATATAACCGAACCACGCGCATAGGGAGAAGGTGGTGGCATATTCGGGTTGTCGTTTGAGAGCCCTTTGAGTATGTTTAAAACCTTTGAATGCAATGGCTGTACAGATCTGATGGAAGAAGCAGTAGGTATTCAGGTCACATTTTTCATTCGTTCTCATCTGCTGGCCCGTTGACTTTCGTAGTAATACTCAGTTGCTATTTCGCCTCGATTTTCAACATCTTTCATAGTTGAGAAACGTATCACCAGCTAAAATGATATAAAGCAGGTCTACAAGCTGTAGAGACGCGTGAATACTCACCACTGTAAGAGAGATTAAGTAAAGAGCAGGCAATGGCGTGGCGGCTATTGCCAACGCATACTTCCTCAAATCTAGGTATGCTTCGTCTCTGTTACGACAATCTTTGTTAGACAACGGCAATTGCCAACGCATACTTCCTCAAATCTAGGTATGCTTCGTCTGTGTTACGACAGTTTTTGTTAGACAGGTAAGTATAAGCCGTTCATTACAAGGAAAGAACTGGGACACATAATACGTCTTGATCCTATAGGCGGCAAAGCACAATGAAGCTGCTAGCAGGTCTCGAACTGCAGAGAGCACTGGGAGGAGGCACTGCTTCAGCTCCGCGTTAGAATAAAAATTCTGAGCCGTCTAGCGGGCCGAAGAAGCCGCCCAAGCCCAAGGGCCTACGGCCGAAGTCTATAGGCCGGAGCTGAGGCCTACACGGGATCAACTTCACCGCACTTATAAATCTGTTTCATGCAACTTAGAGGTGTGCCACCTTGGGCTAGTTGGTATGGCATGACGATAGTTATAGCGCGAGAACAAAACGACGACACAGAGACAAGAAGGTGTCCTTCGTGTCCTTCTTGTCTCTGTGTTGTCGTTTTGTTCTCGCGCTATAACTATCGTCTGTTTCGTGCTTTCATTCCCCAGCGCTGTCAAACGATCACCCAGATGCACAGTAACAAACACGTCGCACCTGTTTGACACCGCAGGCGATCAGCCTCTCGGCCGCCCGCAGCATGCTAGGGCTTGGCCTTGTTCGGCTGAAGTCTCCCACGAAGGAGATGGCGATGGCGACCTTGTTGTAGCCCCGTGTGTGGGCTCCCTCACGTCCGAAGCCTCGGCCCACGTAGATCCGGCCGTCACCTCCCACAAGAAAGTTGTAGCCAATGTCCGACCAGCCTGCGTGCAATGATGAACACTGCCCTTCAGTTGCAATCGATGAGGAGCTTGCGAATAGCCGGATGTTTCGAACAGAAATGGCTATAGCATGTCCTGTTCCAATTTTAGTTTCCCAAGTGCCTGCTCTACGCTATACTTCTCTTCCCAAATCTATAAAAAAATGTCTTCATTCTGCTTGTAGCACGTCTGAACTATCTGAATTCGTTTTGTTCGATCCGTGTCATGTTAAATAAAAATCCCGGACTTTGCAATATGATTGTGTGTTTGATCAAACCTCATCGCCATCTTATTTGCACTCACGACTAATATGAGACAGTGTCATTGGTATTACGATGATTTTGATGTTCTGTAAGTAAACACTCCCGAAATCTATGTAAACACATTTGGGGGGGCTATCTCCTGACGCCGACAAGAGCTCTCGCCGAGTGGTGCCCCGTCCTCGGACCCCTGTGACCGTGTCCATCTTTCCCATAATCTCTTTACTTCTCTGCACCTCACTCTCTTCTTCCTTTCTCCCTATATACCTTTTAATTCCTCCTTACCCCAATCCCTCGTGAGCTACTGTTGTGGTGTCGCACCTGATGCAGACAGTTACGGGGCTCACTTTTCTATTCTGTTCCCTTTAAGAATCACATAAGGGGGAAGAGCATACGGAAAACGCAGGACAAAAGCAAAATTGCATAAAACCGATAGTTACGCTACAAAAAATAAAACCATCCGAAAGTTAAACTGTCAGTTTCTAAAGTTGCTTTTCTGTAAAATCAAATTTAATTTAAATATTAGGAAAACAAATTGAGTATTGTGCGGTCACTGCATGCCCCATTAAAAAGTGGACGCTCTTAAAAATGCATCCAGATGGTTTTTCACTTTTCGCACTGCTTACGGTTGGCGTTCATGTGGTGGTTCTGGTGACTCCGTACGAGGCGGCTGCAACTTCTTTGGTCCTTGCACTGGGCTCCTGTGGTGTGGTGTATGAAGACGTATTGCGCCCGAGGATTTCTCATGGCTACCTGCGATCTCGGAGCCCGTGCACCCCATTCCTTGCGGGACACTATGGTGACGCCCGGACACTTCAGGGCACCTGCAATTAAGCCGAGGCTTAAGCCCTGGGCCGGCTCTGTTGGCCGTCCTCGAGTAAATGCGTTGCAATTGCCAACGCGTACTTTTTCAAATCTAGTTATTCTTCGTCTCTGTTACGACAATCTTTGTTAGACAGATGAGTCTAAGCCGTTCATTACAAGGAAAGAACTGGGACACATAATACGTCTCGATCCTACAGGCGGCAAAGCACAATGAAGCTGCTAGCAGGTCTCGAACTGCAGAGAGCACTAGGAGGAGGCATTGCTTCAGCTCCGCGTTAGAATAAAAATTCTGAGCCGTCTAGCGGGCCGAAGAAGCCGCCCAAGCCCAAGGGCCTACGGCCGAAGTCTATAGGCCGGAGATGAGGCCTACACGGGATCAACTTCACCGCACTTATAAAGCTGTTTCATGCAACTTAGAAGTGTGGCAGCTTGGGCTAGTTGGTATGGCATGACGATAGTTATAGCGCGAGAACAAAACGACGACACAGAGACAAGGAGGTGTCCTTCGTGTCCTTCTTGTCTCTGTGTTGTCGTTTTGTTCTCGCGCTAGAGACTATCAGTCCTGTTTCGTGCTTTCATTTCGCCCAGCGCTGTCAGTACTGGATCACCCAGAGGGTCACAAGTAACAAAGCACTTCCTGCACCTTTTGGAAGGCAGCCCGACCCCCCCCGCAATATCAGCCTCTCGGCAGCGCCCGCAGCATGCTAGGGCTTGGGCCTTGTCGGCTGAAGTCCCTCCCACGAAGGAGATGGCGATGGCGACCTTGTTGTAGCCCCGTGTGTGGGCTCCTCTCAGGCCGAAGCCTCGGCCCAGTAGATCCGGCGCGTCACCTCCCACAAGAAAGTTGTAGGCCCAATGTCCGACCAGCCTGCGTGCAATGATGACAACTGCCCTTCAGTTGCAATCGATGAGGAGCTTGCGAATAGCCGGATGTTTCGAACAGAAATGGTTATAGCATGTCCTGTACCAATATTAGTTTCTTAAGTACCTGCTCTACGCTACTTCTCTTCCCCAAATCTAAAAAAAAATGTCTTCATTCCGTTCGTAGCACGTCTGAACTATCTGAACTGGTTTTGCTGAATCCGTGTCGTGATAAATAAAAATTTCGGACTGTGCAATATGATTGTGTGTTTGATCAAACGTCATCGCCATTTTATTTGCACTCACGACTAATATGAGACAGTGTCATTGGTATTACTACGCTTTTGATGTTCTGTAAGCTCTCGCCGAGTGGGGCCCCGTCCTCGGACTCCTGCAACCGTGTCCATCCTTGATCTCTCTTTCTATATATAATATATATATATATATATATATATATATGTATATATATATATTATATATATATTATAATATATATATATATATATATATATTATATATATATATATATACCTTAAATCCTATGCTTTTATTCCTCCTTACCCCCAATTCCCTTATGGCTAATGTTGAGGGTGGTCGCACCTGATGCAGCAGTTACGGGGCTCATTTTTCTCTTCTTTTCCCTTCAGGAATCACATAAGGGGAAAGAGCATACGGAAGAGGCAGAAAAAAAATAGAAATTGCATAAAACCGATAGTTACGCTACAAAAAAAAAGGAAACCACCCGAAAGTTAAGCTGTCAGTTTATAAAGTTGCTTTTCTGTAAAATCAAAAAATTTATTTAAAATATTAGGCAAAAATGGAGTATTGCGCATAGCTGACCACAAGTCACTGCCCCATTAAAAAGTGGACGCTCTTAAAAATCCATCCAGGTGGAGCATTTTTACACTTTTCCGCACTGCTTACGGTTGGCGTTCATGTGGTGGTTCTGGTGACTCCGTACGAGGCGGCTGCAACTTCTTTGGTCCTTGCACTGGGCTCCTGTGGTGTGGTGTATGAAGACGTATTGCGCCCGAGGATTTCTCATGGCTACCAGCGATCTCGGAGGCCGTGCACCCCATTCCTTGCGGGACACTATGGTGACGCCCGGACACTTCAGGGCACCTGCAATTAAGCCGAGACTTAAGCCCTGGGCCGGCTCCGTTGGCCGTCCTCAAACATGCCATGCGCGCACGATTATATGTACAGGGTGTGCGTGCACAATACAGGGTGTCCCACATAAATTGAGCCCAGACTTGAAAATGAGAGACACTTCAGTGGCGAATTGAACCAAACGCGTACCACTCGCACTAGCCTGTAGGTACTCGGGCTATAATTGACAAGTTTTAATTTTCATTTTTCAATTATGGGCTGGAAACCCAAAATATGAACACTGGGATGTAGAGCACTTCCAGAAACCACCGACTGAATTGTATACTGTACGATACGTCTAGCGCTGTTATTTTTTCCGCGTTGTAAAGGAAGCCTATTGCAGCACTATAGCAGTGCGCTCGTGGTCCGTCGCCCGGCTTCTTTTCACGTACCACGGGCTTTCTTCAAGACGTGGGAAAAATAACAGTGCAAGACGAATCGTACAGGCAACAATTTAGTCGGTGGTTTCTGAAGGTGCTCCACATCTCAGTGTTCATATTTTGAGTTTCCAGCGCACAATTTTAAAAATATCTAATTAACAAATATGTATTAAATAGTATGGGGGAGAAATAAAAAAATTGAGTACCTACGGGCAAGTGCGAGTAGTATTCATGGGGTTAAATTCGCCACCGGTCATGCATTTCAGGAAAAATGCATGAACCGGTGAAATGTAGCTGTTGCATACTTTTCTCTTGAAGGGTATACTGGTCAACCAGCTCTCATGATCTGAGATTGCCTGCTAAATGCACTCCACCCCATGACTAGAAGAACGCAGTAAGAAACTTGACGTGACGTACCGAATCTGAATTCAAGCGGGACGCACTCACAGGAATGAAATCTTACGTTTTAGAACGCTTTGTGTCATATGGCAAAAACCACTTGGGGTATCATCATGTCTGACTGGCCTCTTTCGGCCCTGGCGCTGTCGATTGACACCACCACAAAACATCTGCCCATTATAGCCCCTCATGAATGAAGGAAGTACTTCTTCAATGATCACCACTGTGATCGACATCAAAATTGTGGCATGTTTGTACAGCTGGGCGCCACAAGAAGAAGAAGCTTGTACGCACGGATGGTCTCACGCACGGACGGAAGCACGAACGGACTGACGAATGCTTCGCGCAACTCATCATCATTCACTCCGGGGATGTGCTGGGATTTTTTTTCGTACATGGTTTTCTGAGGTCCGAACCGGTAATAAAACACGCTCAAAAAAGTATCAGACCAAAATAAGTACTTCAGGGCTAAAAGCAAAAACAACTTACGTATGTTTCTTTCATAGGGGGCGAACAGAAAGCAAAATAAGGAAACGTTGGGCAGCTGCGCTCAATCGAGTGGGTAGATTTAAACCACAATCTTTAGAGTATGAAATATTTCACTGATTATCATGAAAGTTTTAGACTGGTTTACCAGCTGGTGTAGTGAAATTCCGTTGTGTTGGAGTCATTCCGGATGTTTCAGCTCACATGGGAGTGTTTACTTCTAACTGCATTTCAATCATCGATTAAAGGCCTTGTGTCTTTTTTAGAAATATGTCGTCAATAAAGCCTAGAACTTCAGAAAAAATTGATTTCGTATCGACGCGGTTCGTTGTAAATGTCGTCGAAAGAAGTTAGTCCTCGGCCAGCCTTTCTATACATGACTCCTGGTTTCATCTGCGCCCACCCTTGATGCTGTCCTCGTATACCACTTTCGTCCTGGCATGATAGAATCTTCCCCGCTCTGTATAAAAAACTTAACATTATGCACCACATGAACTATCGGGGACGGCTTTCAGCTCTCCCATAGTAGAGTACTGAGTACTCTAAATCGTTAACCACTTTTTCTAAACACACAATTTTCGTCAAAATTTTTCCATGGTAGAGTAGTACTCTGAATCATTAACCACTTTTTCTCCACACACAATTTCCGCTACGGAACGGCTTCATGCTCTTCCATAGTAGAGTACCAAGTACTCGAAATCGTTAAACATTTTTTTTCAGAACACATGGTACATGGAATGGGGGGTAGTTTGAGCAGATTTCCTTTTACCGCATCATTACTGCTGGCATGTCGTGTGTTCGTACCTCTGCGACATGTCAGCAATGTCGCGGTCGCGTGTGGGTCTGTATAACACGATAGTTCACAAACACGAACCATTTCTGAGAAATGAATGTACTTCATCGCGTAGAAGAGTCAATGTTTGTGCGCATGTACTATTGCATGCTGCGTCGCTGAAGTAGACGCCTGCCGCAGTACGCAGCACCATAACGCTGGCAGAAGGCTTTTTTTTTTTTTCGTGCGTAGCGTCATATTTCTCAGCGCTGCCCAAGAAACGCTAGAATCATTAAATTATGCATAAACGTATTTTAGTTAGAGAAAACACTACCTAATAGTTACGTAATGATGTTGCACCCGATATATGCGTATTATTTGCTTTTTGATCGACAATGTACTTACAAGTATGGATGCAGCCACCAGTTCAAGATGGCTGGGCGTTCAGCAAGTGCTTAAATTTTAGCCGAATGGCTCAGTCGGGTGACAGACAGATAGAAAGACAGAACAAAAATTTCGGCGTTCAGGCATCCCGAAAAATACTATCGTTTTTAAAGTGGGCCAATTTGCGATTACGTCCTTGTGTATCGAAGTCCGACATCGTTATTTTGTGCGCGAACTCATGTGCATTAGAACAATATTAGCAAATTGACATTAGACGTATTCCCACTTAGCATTTGTTCCCTCGGAGCTCGAATTATACGAATTACTATTAGGTGACAATCATTATTACGCGCATCAAGACCTGCTGATCGACGACTCAGCAGGATTGTCCAGGATGCGAGAAATGACATCTGTTCTATCAGCAATCGTGTGCCTAATACAAAGTTTTAAACAAATTATTGTTATACTATTGTTCTCAAATAAGCCGCGTAAATTTTACGCGATTGTTTTCCTATAACGTTAACAGACCCCTGATGAGCAGACTTCTACAGAAGCGTACCAATTTGTTCGGAGTAGTTCCTGCACTTGGGGCACAACAGAGCACAATAACAGAGCATGATATTCCTGTGTGATTTGTTCCATTCAACCCTGAGTCTATTAATGATAGCAAATCATCATAAGAGGTATTAATGATACCTCTTAAGCAAAGTAGCCTTTGCTTAAGAGGTAGACTAGATAGGTGTCCTTCAATAAAAGAACAGCACTTATAAATCCCGAACCTGAACGCTAGAGAATCCTTAAGTACGACACGAGCAGCAACTTCATGGTGCCCAATTTATAGAAAATTGACTATTTCAATGATAGTTCTGCAAAACAATACTTATCTGTTTGTTTGGTTATGTTACTTCGTTGGGCCAGCAAACCAAATACACGCCGCTAGTTTCATCACACTGGATTAAACAGGGCCACCAAATTTCGTTTGCCGAACACTTAAAACAAAAAGTCACACCTGCGTCAAATGTTACGCACTCCATTGCCAGTTCAACAAGTGTTACCGGTTTCGACAACAACGTCCGTGAGCAGCAGGGCCGTGACCAGGGCTTGTATTGCGAGGCATGGTACCATGGCACAGGCTCTCTTCGTAGTCGCACAGACGTGAAGCCTCCTCGATATGTTGCTGCACCCGTATGACGGCTACCGGTTCCTCTCGACGAAGTATACCCTTCGTGGAACTCCAAGAGCCTGCGTTTGGAATAAGCAGAAGCCACTAGAGTTGGAATGTATGAAACGGAATCGTCTTGGAGTTAATTCCTCATGGGTGACCCGCCCCGGTGGTCTAGTGCCTAAGGTACTCGGCTGCTGACCCGCAAGTCGTGGGATCGAATCCCAGCTGCGGCGGCTGGAGGCGGAAATGTTGTAGGCCCGTGTGCTCAGATTTGGGTGCACGTTAAAGATCCCCAGGTGGTCAAAATTTCCGGAGCCCCTAATTACGGCGTCTCTCATAACTATATGGTCGTTTTGGGACGTTAAACCCCACATATCAATCAATCAAATCCTCGTGGGCAACTCGAATCAGCGCTACGTTTGCTATCCGAAGCAATTGAGCATACGGCGTACAGCGAATGGAAAACTTTTTTAGCCTTTCTTTTATACTCGAGGGCGTTAAACAGCTAGTTTAGTAAAAAATTCCCGGATCGGCGTCGTCTTTCGTGGCGTCTTTCGTTGCGAGCGAAAAACCAGCGTTGTCCGTAAGCAAAAAAAAAAAAAAAAGTTGGTTTTGCGAATATAAGCGCTGTAATAAGGAAGTTAAAGGGTTTAAAACATCCGTTTCAGCCCGTTTCAAGTTTTCGCGAGGCGCTCGCCACCTTTCCCCGCCATAGCGAGGGGAACGAGTATAGCCCGTCGTCGTGACTCCGCCCAGGGTTTCTCTCACGTGAGCACGTGTCATAGCGGCGAGGGTGGAAACGCTGAGCGACGAGCAACCCCTAGCGCTGAAGTAGTAGACATAGAGTTAATATACAGACTCTAGAAGAAAAGCTACCCATCGAGCCCATGCATTGAAACCAAGGAGGTTTTAAAAAAAAAAATTGCTAGAGTGGAAGCTCGGGCAATGCTCTGCCAGCAGAAATGCAGCCAGCTTTTTCCCTCCAAAGATCTCAGAAACAGGCTGTTTTCTGGAGGTGCCCGCTTAGACATCAAGCGACTTTGATTCGTTAGTCTAAAGGTTAAGGTAAATATGAATTAAAGGATAGTTGTTTCCTATAAAACAATCTGTATTTTCGATAAATATTAGGTATCGGCGATCCAATCCCCAACCAAATTTGCCCAATAAAATTTGCCTTAAATTTGAGGCTTACTAAAAAAAAGCTAGAAACACGAGGACGCACTTTGAGCACTAACCACCGTATTCACAAACGCTACTCGACTCCACTTTCATCCTTCACTTGACAGAGTTGAGCACTGCGTTGCTGCTCGGCTGAGAATGAGGCTGCACTACTGAAGAATCGCAGCGTATTATTGCTGATATGCAGTGACTTGCCGTGCCTACAGATGGCGCTCCCATCGGCTTTCTCAAGAGAAGGTGAAGCGTTGGGTGAAGGGACGTTCTAGAATACAGGCGTATGTGACCCCAGAAGGTTGGTTGCCACGTTAAACTCGTTGGGAATGCGAGGAAAACGCTACTGCTCAATGGCCAAACGCCAGCAGCTCATCATGCCCCTAGTAAGATGGCTGCTGCAGCCACCACCTTACGGTTGGCACGGCTTCACTTCTGGGCAAGGATTTCCACTCCAGCAATTTTTTTTAAACCTCCTTGATTGAAACCCATAACCGCCCGGGATGCGCCATGATGGAACGATACTCAGCTTTCGGGTGACGTTCCCTCGCAGTCGCCACTGCGCGTTGCAATTACACCCGACATTTTCCCTGTTTTGTGTATCTCTGTTACATCGCAGTAAGGGACTGTCACAAGAAGTCGAGCTTTTGGCTCATGACAACGAAAGGCACGGACGCCGACTCGCCCGGCGTGCAAGCTAGTCGGCGCAATCGGCCGATCGCTGCATCGCCACGCCCTTAACGTTACCACAGAACCATTGAGTTTCCTTAATATACACTAGAGGGAACTCTGGCGCTAGTGTCTATGGGAGCTGCAATGCACGGTGCTTCAGCGAGCATGGTAATGATGGGTGGTACACACATTTGTCTAATATTCGTAATTTCTGGCCTGCTTTTGGCTCAGTGTGTAATAGTGTGGCTTGGAACTGTTTTCTTACGAAACAAATATTAGCAAATGTTCAGCGGCTGCGCTTCACCATCTTATTCCTTTAGACTTCCCTTTCCAAGTCGGCTCGCGAAGTTCAAAAGGGTTGAATATTTCTTTCAAAACAAAACCGAAACAGCAATAAACGAAGCCGCAAGTACGAAGACTAGGCAAATGTGTTTATACTACCCATAATTCCCATGGTCGCTGATAGGGTTCCTCGATGCGCGCTCTCCCCTCCGCCGCCTTAAGGGGCGCGCGCACGCATCGAGGAACCCTAGTCGCTGAACGATCACAGCGCCAGAGTCCCCCCTAGTTAATTTTAAGAAACTCTATGCACAAAACACCTATCAGTTACAAGAAAGGTGGCGTCATCTATTCAAGAAACCTGCAAACGTTTTTCGGCGCTCAGTAAATTGAATAAATGACATTTGTATTTTTCTTAAAAGTGATTTAAATAAATTTTTATACAATTTTCGTTTATTTAAAATACGTGAGTACGCTTGTTCAAGATTTTTTATTGCAAAAATTTGAGTGTTTTGAACGTTTGAATTTAGCGCTTCTTTAGAGTACTCCGATGGCAACAATGACAACGTTTCAAGATGTTAGCGCGCTTTAGTGGTTACAGCTTTTCTGGCCCAGCTTTTCCTCTAGAGTCTGTATATTAACTCTATGGTAGTAGACGCCTCTTTATTTCGGAGGCTTTCGTTCTCTCAGGTTCTACGAAATGGCAGAGGGCAGCACGGAAGAAATGAAAATTTGGACTGTGTGGCTGAAAACTGCATCACCCCAGGGCCAAGTCGCCATTTTTTTAGGGCAAAGAACCAATTGGAGAGCTCAGTATTGCGTAACGTTGCCCATGGGCAAAATTTCGTGCGTCAGACTGCGCGTACGTGGTAGATTGGCCAGGCGAAGGAAACAGGCGCGGGATTGTTTCTTGAAATGCGGGGTCTCCGCGGTGCGCAGTGCTGTAATATTCGGCAAATGGGATCGCCGCGTTCTACTACACAAACTGACGAGCTTGGTAGGTGTAAAAAAAAAAAAAGTTGGAGCCTGTTTACAGGTCCTCTAAGAACAGCTGGTATTCCACGTCCTGAAACCCTGATGTGTTAGTGAAGGACCCTATATGGTTAGAGGACTCCGGAAATTTCGACCACGTGGTCTTATTTATTGCGAACATGAATCATTCTAGGGCTTCTATCATTTCATCTTCATCGAAATGCGGCCCCCTTGGATGGGGGTTCGATCCTGTGACATTCGGCTCAGCAGTCGAGTATACCATAATCAATATACCTCTACGGTGTGTGAAAATGTAGAGTAAGAATTGTGATACAGCGAACCCATTAGCACGTTGAAGCAAGTGTGCCGACAATCTTTGGAACCATATATTTTTTTTTAAGCGGGTTCCGCGACCACAGGCCCCTCCTCAGGGTCCCGCGAGCCACTGATAAACTTTCTCTGGTTCTACAATCGCCAAGTCACTTAGATCGCAAACGCCAAGTGATATAGGTCCAAGAAACCTCTATTACTCATATCCGAGGAACAATGAGCACATCACCGTGTATAACAGAACCACGCAAACTGCGAACTAAGTCCCGCAGGCAGCCTAATTGTAGCCAGTCTAACACCGAGAACACAAGTGTGGCAGCTTGGGCTAGTTGGTATGGCATGACGATAGTTATAGCGCGAGAACAAAACGACGACACAGAGACAAGTGTCCTTTTTGTCCTTGTCTCTGCGTCGTCGTTTTGTTCTCGCGCTATAACTATCGTCATACCGAGAACAGGCCACGCGGTTAAGGTGTTGTATTTCAATCTCGGACGCCTTATAATAGACGCTTGCGTATTTAGCCTGTTCGAAGACGGGTGCCGAAAATAAGGCAGGGGAGATGCTGCAGCCATGCTGCAACGGGAGGGGGGGAGAATACTTTGACACTTAATCTTAGCAAGGTTTCCTATAACCAACATGCTTGATAACCCCTGCTTTAAACACATATTTGTATAAATACAGTGAATGAACCATCGACAATACTTCACAACATTAAAATCTCTTACTAAATCGATCTAAAATGGAATACTATAGACCTGCTTTTTTTTTTCGACTAAAATCCGGTAAACATGTTAGTCGACAAGCGTCGTCTCCGGGTACATACTCATACCAAACCATTGCACTTGACAATTTTATGCTAATATTTTAGGGCTCTCCCAAGGCGCTTCGCAAAATTTATTTTACAGAATCGCCCTACGTCATCCCGCGAAAACAAAACATTTGGCGATTAGAAATCACAAGCTCTTTTTCAAATTCATGGGATCATTCCACAGTCTGAATTCATCGAAAATGGCTATTTTATCTGACACATAAAAGGGTTTCTCCTGAACGTTCATATATTACAGCTGCGGAAACGGCATTATCATTTTCTGTAACTTTTATAATCATTTTCAATAACTTCAAACACTTTCCTTTTTTTTTTTTCGATAAATCTTCACCATCGCTTTCAACGAAATCAGATTGTCTTCGACATTAAACACTAGAAGCTCTCGCCTTAACAACATCCGCTATACATTTTGTATGCGCATGTTTCCGCCATGAAGCGATCTGATTACTCATATCAAGTGAAGATAACATTGCAAATACGAATAACATACATTAACCTTACTTACGTATTTATGCAAATATTCTGCCTTTTTTTAGCACCGTGCACATATATGCTGCCGCAGTACACGTACATTTGTAGAGGCAGGAAAACAAAAAGCGATAAGTATTTGCCCAGCTAAAAAAAATGTTTCGCTTCTTTTGGTTGATTTGTTGATACGTTATGTTTAACGTCGCAAAACCACCATATGATTATGAGACACGCCGTAGCGAAGGACTCCGAAAAGTTCGACCACCTGGGGTTCTTTGACGGGCACCCAAATCTGAGCACACGAGCCAGCAGCATTTTCGACTCCATCGAAAATACAGCAGCCGCAGCCGCCGGGATTCGATCCCGCGACCTTCTTCGACAGATATAAAATGAATATTTCATACTCACGCTACTGCGTCACGAAGCGCAGTGACTCTAAAGCACGAAAGTGAAGCAAAGAAATGCACGATATATCAAACGAACACTTGCTCGGTAAAGGCTCCCTGCAAACAGATGATCAGCCAACCGGTACCAGCTCGCATATGTACCTAATTATCCTCACTAATGCTCGGTGACACGGCAATACGTAAGTGGCTTGCACGCCCACACAAAACGATCCTAAACTTTGCCGATCGTTTGCTAATTGTACGCTTTCAGAAATGAGAACACGGAGAAAATTTACGAACTCAAAGTATACTCTCATCATTACGAGCATTACATTAAGAAACAAAAATATTTACCTGTAACTCGCCCCTGGATCACTCTTCAATTAAAGGCACGCGCTAGCTCCCTCTCGGAGAGCCTTACCTCCTACCACTCACCAAAGAAAACGTAGCTCCGAAAGAGTTTGAACGAGTTCAAAAAGAGCTCTATGTGTACAAATCGCAAATCTCTAAAAAAAAAGCTACAGGTTCACTTCTTTCACTTCGTAGTGTCTGAACATAGCCGTTTTTTTTTTTTGCCTTTTTCCTATTTAAGTGCACATCTTCCCTCCGTAGCGCAGTTTCATTACTTTTACCTGTTGTGCATTCAATATACTCACAAGTTCACAAACGTCCCCAGCCTGATCGAGACAACTGGTAAAGTACGCAGGATTAAATAGTTTGGGCTATAACATGTTTCAGCATACTCCATTTAGGCTTGCTAATAGGGCTGTCACAAAGGTGAACATCGGGCATGGTTAAGGTGATCATTCAACTCTGAAAATAATGTGGCTATTTAGTCCCATGAGAAACATAACACAATTGAGTACCGATTCGTATTATAATGGAGAACAGTCTCGACTGTCGTCCACTGAGAAGCAGCGTTGTGGTAAGCTGTATTACGTCAGCGCCAAATTCATCACTATACTACGCGCCTGAATTTGGGAAGCGTTGGGCGGCGTTAACTTTGAGCACGTTGGAGCAGTGAAGAATAGTAACGACCGTGACACGTGCAGCAGGTACAGGTAACATGCATATGCGTTCCACGTGCGCGTGACTTGGTCCATTGTCTGAAACGAACAATGAGGGGTGAGTGGCTGTGACATCGACCTGTAAATCGCCAACTGTACAATGCGAGAGCTCAAATCGACAGAAGAAAGCTTGGTCTGTCGGCGTTTTAGCGATTCTTGGAACTGCGGCAGCAAAAAAATGTAGATGCGTTTGAGCCAATCAGAGATGATGCAGTTGCTCTCTGGGGCAATCAGACTTGACCAACGGCGGCATCCCACGACATATGCGGGCGTACCTGAACAATGACCACAATAGCACTCTGTCGTGACAAAAGGTGTACGCAGTGGCAGTTGCGTAGCTGGATACTTTTTTTCTTTTTTCGGCAGATATTTTAACCATATATTTAATGATCGTTCTTGAGCGCGTTTTCATATGTGCGTGTATAGGCGCATAAAGAATGGGAAAATTTGGGGGGGCCCGTATACCCCTGTGTGTCAGCCGGAGGGGTCAATTCCTTAATCCCCCTTCTCTTCTTTTTTTGCTACGGCCTGGACGGTGACTCCTGCCTTCATTGCCGCTTCTCTCATTGCAAATATCCATCCTTCAGCCTCATCCATTCGCGTTCACGAGCTTCTCCGTAATGGGGGTGGCGGGTGAGAGAAAAGCTTTACCACAGAGCTCCTTCCCAGCTCCCCCCCCCCATTGTTAAATATATATAAAAAAAAGAAAACTTCCGATGGATTAGCAAGTGAAATTTGCGCGATTATGTGCTTCTCACAGAGGCATATCGTTAGTCTCCAGCTCTATTGGGATGAATGTAGGAGTGATGAACAGTTCTGCGAAAGCAACGTCAGGGGGGATTGGCAGTCATTATCTTCAATTACCTTCATTTCCATAATTCAGGGTCCGACAGAGAAAGAGGTATCGCGCAGAACGGGCGACCATATTGATAAATGAAAGAGGGGGGGAAGCAGGGTGCCCCCCCCCACTCTGATTTGAATATGTCTTCGGATTCGTCTGAATATTTCGTTAGATTGGTCGTTTACAACTTACAAATGATATCGCGACTGAAGTGAACCTGTTCAGACAAAAGATACAAAAAAAAACAGGCGAGTAGCGCACGTAATTAAGAAAAAAATAACCGGAAATTGAAGCTTCGTCATTTTTCCCATGTTAAGCGTACGCTGGGTTCCACTTCAGTGCGGGAGATGATTGTTTGAGCGCCCCCCTTCCTATCTTGTCAATGTATTGGGCTGACTTTGTGCACCCCCCCCCCCCCCCCGCCAACACGCTCACACGCTGATGTGCACTCATCCGGCTTCTTGTTGTACTGTCTGCCGCCATCTGCCCTAATCGCTCGACGACGAGAACCGAAGTAAAAGAATGGTAGTATATAGGTGTTCTGTGGTAAAAGCGAATCAGCCAGTGCACAATTTCAAAATCAGAATGTCCAGACACTATTGTCACTGTGGCGCCATCTGTCGTAGTTCAATAAAGGCAATATGACCTCCAGTGTTGCCTTTTAGTGGCGTGGCGTGAGGAGGACGCACGGTACGTTTTCAAATCTCAGAACCCAGTGATTGCTTGAGAAAGCTACACAAAGGTGGCGCGCCAATGCGGGCTTGCGTAAAGCCCTTTAGGGACTTTAAACTTGAGTTTTCTTTTTGTTTCTTCTTAATTCAATGTCGATCTCGTCGGGAAATATTGACGGATCACTTTTTTTTTTGTTAGACACAATATTATTGAGAAACTGGAGCCTTCGACTTGTCGTGGGACAAAGGCCTAAACACAGTATGAATGAGAGCAGTTGGCTAAACGCCTTAAACAGGCTGACACATTATTAATTAGAACTGTCATCAGTCGGAATGTTTTAGGCTTCTCACAGGTATGATTAACAAGTGATACGCAGTTTCAAAACAACTTGAAAGTCGACTTTTAAACAACTTGACGTGATCGGAATATGGACCATGTGCATTGCAAGCGGTACAGGCATTGGCGGCGTTTTCGGTAAAACAAAAATCGACGGAACAGAAACACACACACACACACACACACACACACACACACACACACACACACACACACACACACACACACACACACACACACACAAATGATGGTATGACAGCCGGAATCGAGCACAATCATCCTGCGTGGTAACCAAATATTCTACCACAGAGCTGCACCAGTGCTTCGAACTGCTTATGAAAAAGGCCCTGTAATGGTGTTACATCGCAGCAACGTTAAGTGTCGCTGCAGTGTTCGCTATTGGTTTCTGCAACAATGTAAGGAACAATGCATATTAACTCCTGTGGCTTAGGCGTTGCCCGAGCCGGAAGAAACTGATGAAATCTGTTTCCTATTACATGCACATCGTCGCCCAGGAACGTGCCCTTGATTTCGATAAAACCGACATGTGGGCTCCAACGTGAGTTCCGACGTAACTTCGTACCATCGGATATCTTTGGTCATCGCTGAACTCGACATGTCTGGTGAATTCTAAGCTCAATCCCGTAGCCAGGCGAGAGGGCGCCGAGAAGGGAATGGTCCTATGACATCTTTCCACCTACAAATTGTTGTTTTCTCCCCCTCCGAAAAAAAAATTTCCTCACTGCGGGCCGGCCCGCGACATACAAAAACGACTACTGAAAAATTCACGAGGAAGTTGGTTCAACTCCCAACGCTTGGCTCAAAGCAATAAAAATTCGCCACATTCCACGTAAACCTTGGGAATCGACGTTATGAGATACATGCGGAGGGTATAGGTGATCGCGTTGCATGGCGCTGAATATATGTACAAATCTCGCACGCATATATACATATGTTGAAGAGTCGCAGACTTTTACGTAACTAGTTCTTTGCGCTTGCGCAACGATGACCACCGAATCATGAGTATTGGCAACACCTGGTGCGATAAGGTGATACGAAGCGTTGGTGCTCGCGAGGATGGTAGCCCTGGACTCTGCTACATAAATCAGCTTCAGCAAAAGGCACCTAACTAAAATTGACGTTGACCCGATGTGACGGCCGTATCAGGGGAGAACATATGTTAATGCTTATAAAATTGGATAGCAAGCACTGAAACCACAATTGACGTTTCACGAAAAATGGGCTCTATTTGAAAATCAGTTCCGAAACCTGGCGTTGCTGCTCTCTGGTAGAATGCTTGATTGCCACGCACAATGCTTGGGTTCGATTCCTGATGGAACCCTGACATTTATGCATTTGTTGGGTTAATGCTGCCGATGTCAGTTTTTTCTTAACGCTCACGCGTTAAGGTTGTCCTTGTATGTTCTCGTTATTTCTGGGTAGATACTATGCGTCAACGACCTGTGGTACATAACCACATACCACTGGCACATACCCACCCACGGGTATTCGCGACTGTCTGGCGGGAAGTGTTTGATGACGTATGCGGCGGAAATGTGACTTTATTCTCAACTTGACCAGCGTGTCGTATCCGTCAAATCATCTTGACCTCCCATACTCATTTTGGTTCGCGCCAAGTTAAAGGGGTGGTGCCACGAAATTTGTGGCATGCGTGTTCTTTGCTGTAAGCGTTTACTTCAGCTCCAAGAAGCATGAGGCACGCACCAAGATTCGTGTATTTCCGCTAAATAATTAAATATTGATCAACTTATGTGGACCATTTTCGGTTTCGGTTTCGCGGCGCCGAGTTGGGCAGTGACGTCGATACATAGGTGGCTTGGCCACGTGATCACTCAAGGCTGTGACGCGCATCGTGCTGAATTTCGTCTGCTCTCACACACAGGTGCCACACAAGCGCCAACAAAACAGAACACCTTCGTAGGTTTCGATGCGTAGCACTTAGCCAAGAAGCGATCGAAACTCTGCGAGTAATACAGCAACCGATGCATTGCTGGTACGTTGGGTGCGCTCGTTTCGGAGATGGCGGAGGTCACTCACGTCACTACACACCTGGTGTGACGTCACGACAACTGCCGTTGCTTCTCCTATTCTGAAACGTCAGTGCTGCTTCGCAAGAGATGGGCCTAGATCACGAGGGTGAACATTCAGGTTCACTTTTAGAATAGAATTAAAACATATTGTACGTGTTTGTAGGGTCCGACCCTTGGTGTGGAGAGTACTTGTACAAAAAGGAAATCCACAACAAGCTTCGGATAGCCTCGAAATTTGGTGGCACCACCCCTTTAAGGGGGTCATCGCGACAGCACCCAGACGTAAGTGGATAGATAGATAGATAGATAGATAGATAGATAGATAGATAGATAGATAGATAGATAGATAGATAGATAGATAGATAGATAGATAGATAGATAGATAGATAGATAGATAGATAGATAGATAGATAGATAGATAGATAGATAGATAGATAGATAGATAGATAGATAGATAGATAGATAGATAGATAGATAGATAGATAGATAGACAGACAGACAGACAGACAGACAGACAGACAGACAGACAGACAGACAGACAGACAGACAGACAGACAGACGCCAAAAGTGCTTGAAGAACGCATAGAACTCTTCCGCATGGCACCAAAACCTTACTTTCTGGGTACTGCGATTACTGGGTGCTACTTAGCCACTAATCGATAAAACTGAAATACATTGCCATCTGGAGGTGTCAGAGACATGGCTTACGACATTTTTGTTTTGCTCTTCAGTGTCCCATCAAAACAAACACGATAGAGAGAAGCTGGTAAAATTCACAGGCTCAAATTTCTTTTTCTTTTAAATAACAACAAGCTGACAGTAAACCGTGATATGTATCTGAAACCGCTTACGACAAGACAAACCCGGCATCGACAAACTCATTCATTAACACCGTATTTCGCCAGAACAAACATTTTCAAATACTCGTTCTTTCCTCGAACCATAAACGACTGGAACTGCCTACCTCAATCGTTAATCAGCTCTGTAGAGGCACTTGAGCGTATTTAACAATGACCTATGTTTTTCTATCTTTTGTATATGATGTATCCTTTTTGTTCTTGCTGTTTACACCTGTGTGCAATGTTATAATCTTTGCCCCTCCTGCTGGGGCCCTTAAATGGGTCTGCAGTATTTTGTATATAAATAAAATAAATAAAGAAATCAGTGAGTTCTGCCGCATTTTCTGTTTATTATGTAAATGCTGCCTATCGTGATTCCGCACTGTGGCACCTTCCACACACTCTTGAAAAAACCAAAAGTATTCGTGGTCATGCGTGGCCCTCATGTTTTAGCATTTGACGGCCGCTTGGCGCGCTGCTAGCACACGGTTTTCTTGAGTCTCCCGCCGTAGTGGGCCCACTTCTTGATGACGTCGTAGAGGCGGTCTCCCGGACAAGCAGTGCAGTCGCCGTCCCGGTGTCCGTGCAGAGAGTACTTCGGATTGATTTTGCCCTGCGAAAATGAGGGAGCGAGGATCGCTGAGCTAGAAACAAAATACGCACAAGAAACCAAATACGCACAAGATAGAAACCAAATACGCACAAGACTAGAACAAATATTCGGTAAGAACTTTAGTGCCGACTTACAACTATTTCGCCAGCAAGAATTTTGTTCAAGTTTTTCACTTCATGTAGGACATAGTTGCCATGCGTGGCTACCCTCAGCCAAGTTGGCTACTTCACGAGGCCACCTTGCGACTAAAAATTCAGGTTCACCTCGTGGCTATTTTCTCGCTGCCTTAAACATTTGTCTTAGCGCATTAAAGGGACACTACAGAGCAAAACCGTTTTTTCGCGTCTTATTCAAGTGAGATTTTACAATACCAAAAACCACTCTTGCTGAGACACTACGCTTGGTAAGCAAGAGAGCGCGCGAAAATTAAAATCAGGGTGGAGACGCCACCTTGAAATTCCAGTACTGAACACCGTTTCGTAAAATATTTTAATGCGATAACGTTAGAGAGCTCGTGTCACAGAAATTCCGCCGTCGGCATCGGCACCGTTGGTCATGATTGAAAAATCGTCTGTGAGCAAAAGATCGAGAAAGAAGCAAATAAAGTAACGAATAAAATTTTCGGTCGCATTGAGTGTCGAACACGGGCGGTTCGCGTGGCAGGAAGATATGTTGCCACAAAACTACCATGTTACATGCTGCTGCTTTGGGAAAGAACACTACATAAATGCCATGTAGGAAAGAAAGTGTCTTCAAAGCATTTTTTTTTTACAGGTGTCACAGTGAAAACGAGCCCATTCGGTGATTTGTAGGCGCATTTGGGAGGCCATCAAAGTGTACGTCGAAAAAGGCCAGGATAATGCAGCAGCCATCGCCGCTAAAAACACACAGGAACTTTCAAACAGCTTTGAAAATGGACAACTGTGTCTATCTAGCGGCTAAAATATCATGCCTTTCCAGAGGCGTTGATCAAGCAAACAGCAAACGCTAGATATTGTGCTGCCATCTGTGAGGCATTGTGAGACTCTTTATGGCCTCTCCACGGCCGCCTGGATTTGGCGCGCACACCGCCGCGCGCACCCGATCCAGGTGGCCGTGGCCATAGAGTTTCCTAATATACACTAGAGGGAACTCTGGCGCTAGTGCCTATGGGAGCTGCAACGCACGGCGCTTCAGCGAGCATGGGAATGATGGGTAGTACACACATTTGTCTGAACTTCGTACTTCTGGCCTGCTTTTGGCTCCATGCGTGTTTATGTGGCTTGAAGCTGTTTTTCCACGAAACAAAAATCAGCAAATGTTCGGCGATTGCGCTTCACCACCCTTTTTTTTTTTTCAAATTACCTTTCCAAGTCAGGTCACGAAGTTAAAAAGGGTTGAATCTTTCTTTCAAAACAAAAACTGAAACACAGCAATAAACGAAGCCGCAAGTACGATTCGCCGTCCGCGAGTACGAAGACTAGGCAAATGTGTGTACTACCCATCATTCCCATGGTCGCTGAACGATCGCAGCGCCAGAGTGCCCTGTAGTTGATTTTGAGAAACTCTATGGCCGTGGCCTCTCAGACGGCAAGGGCACGGCGTGTATTTACTGCGTTTACTGGGTGCTACTTAGCCGCTAATCGATAAAACTAAAATACATTGCCATCTGAAGGTGTCAGAGACATGGCTTACGACATTTTTGTTTTGCTCTTCAGTGTCCCATCAAAACAAACACGATAGAGAGAAGCTGGCAACTGTTACAAAAGCTGTGTGCTCTCACGCCCGGCTAACACTTGTCCTGCCGCCTAAAAGCAGTGCTGGATCCAGCGACTCATTTTAGAGGGGTGATTGGGGAAGGGGAGGGGGACAAGAACAACAAGAGAGGAGGCAGGGAGGATAACCAGGCATTGCCCGGTTTGCTACCCTACGCTGGGGGAATGGGAAGGGGCATAAAGATAAGAGAGAGAGGAAAGAGAAGAGAAAGAGAGAAAAAATGATGGGGATGCTCGCCTGAAGTAAGACCAGAAGAGAGGGCGGGGTGAGGGGGGTCCCGATTTTTGTTTTTGTTTTTAGTGGCACGAAAACCCCGCCATAACATAAATACTGTTAATCCGTGCCCACAGTGGTCCCATTTAATTGTTCTAATTCCTGATAGGCGGTGCATGACAAGCACTGAAGAGAGGGGGGTGCGATCACCCTCCCCTCCCCCCTTTGGATCCGCGCAGCTGCCTGAAAATCATATACAGCTTTAATTTATCATTTTACCTCGCGCAGGACAGCAAAGGGGGGCCCTGAAAGGCACCACAGCTATCAAGAACAGAGGCACTGTTCCTGTTGATGTAGTGCTGCATTGATTGTGTTTGGATAATAAAGGGGTCGACGATATAGTATTCTCTCTCAACAACGGGGGATCCACCAGCTGTGCGGTAATATGAGTCACTAAGTTGTGTACCAGTATCCCGATTTGCAACAGTGCATATAAGATTGATTGACGATTCACAGAACAATATATTCTACGAGGGAGAGCGTCTGTACAAATGCTGGAATAATGGTGTGATTAGGAAGGACGAGAACGATGCACTCTACTATGGGAGAGCACTTAGCTGTCCCTGTTTCAATACGTATCACGAAACATATTCGTCAAGAAAAGAATGTTGAACAATTTATAGTATACTCTTAACGGGAGGGTAGTCTCTGGCCTGCACTTAATACAATCCCTTAAAGCATATTGCTTCAAGGGATTCAGGGGCTGTATATATTGTATGTAGTGTTGATATTGTGCTTTAAAAAGTTGTTAACGATTCAAAGTACTATAGGTACTCTGCTGTGGGAGAGCATAATATCGTCCCTTTGGCCTGTTTAGAAAAAATGACAGATCCCACGTACAGTGGGAATCGATGATAGGCGAAGCACGAATGAGAAAGGTTGTCATGTCATTTTAAAATCGGCACAACGTCACCAGGTGGAAGTAAATGATGCCGTACATGACTTTCGTGTCATGATTATCGAGTTTGGATATGTCGTTTACCTTCGTCATCTATTCACTTCACGTGATACGAAATTTAGTATATGTGGAGCTAGCGAAACGGCCGCGAGCACGCTATGAGCGTGGTATGTTGTCATGTTTTTACATGACACGCGTCTCGGCATTATCATGTTTGCACCAGTCATATACTTTCGCCATCCATTGACGTCACTTAACACCGAATTCGGTATATGTAGAGCTAGCAAAACGACCACGAGCGCATCATGAAGGGACCCAATATATTCCAAAGTAGATCGCACGCTGGGCACAGCGACGCTACGTTAGCAAAATGCGAGCACTCTATGGTCTGACGCCAGGCGTGACCGGCGCGACCAGCGTCCGTCGGCGCGGCCCGACGGCAACCGGCGCGAAATACGACGTGCTGCATTTCGCGCCGATGCGTTACCCAGACAACACTGCGTCTCCCTCTTTTCGTGACGGAGGGCCGCCGGACGCGCTGAAACGCACATGCGTCAAAGCAACGCAGTGCGGCGCGCGCCTGCGAGTATATGGCTGGACCGGCGCCTGGCGTCACAACACCGGTGTGACGCACCGAAATGAACGCCGGCGAGCACGTGCACTGCGTCACGTCGAAATGTATTGGCGCCTTGACTTTGGCATATAATGTTGTCACATGACACACATCTCATGATTGTCATGTTTGCACCAGTCACATACCTTCGTCATTCATTGACGTCACGTAATAAAGAATTTCGCATGTGCGAAACTAGCGAAACGCGAGCGTATCATGAGTGTAGCATGTAGTCATGTTCTTACATGACACGCATGTCGTGTTTATCATGTTTGGATGAGTCATTTACCTAAGGCGTCCGTTCGCGTCACGTAATACCAAGTTTGGTACATGTGAAGCTAGCAAAACGGCCGCGAGCGCATCATGAGTGTAGCATGTAGTCGTGTTGTTACATGACACGCATCTCAGGATTAACATGTTTGCACCAGTACCATACCGTCGTCATTCATTCACGTCCCGTAATATCAAATTTGGTATAAGTGAAGCTAGCGAAACGGCCGCCAGCGCATCATTAGCGTGGCATGTTGTCATGTTGTTACATGACACGCATCTCATGATTATCATGTTTGTACCAATCACATATGTTCGTCATCCAATCACGTACCATAATACCAAATTTGGTATATGTGACGCTAGCGAAACAGCCGCGAGAGCATCATGAGCTTGGCATGCAGTCATGCTGTTACATGACACGCATGTCACGATTTTCATGTTGGGGGTCTGTCGCTTGTGTTCGCCATGTAATCATGCCATACCATACCAATTTTGCGACAGGCCATGTGAACGAAATCACAGCAAGAGCTGCCGGACCATGAAATGTAAGTCATGACATTCATGACATACATGTCATGATTTTCATGTTATGACTATTCAAATATGTTCTTCATGCAATCATGTTATGCCATACCAAGTTTGGTATTGATATCATTCTCTAAACGGCCAGGAGAGATAAAAGTCGTAGGCGTCTAGATAGATAGATACGCTCAAAGTCGCCGAAGTTCGCTAAGAGATGCTTCGCATTTGAAAGGTAGTAAACGTTTTGGAGTACTTGGTACTCTGTGTTTAGAGAAGAAAGTAGTAAACGATTTAGTGCACTTGGGGGAGGGTTAGAAATAGTGGGTAACAATTTAGAGTACAGGGTACTCTGGTCAAGTTTTCACGTGCGCCTGCGCCCGGAACACTTGGTATACTCTGTGTGTTTAGAAAAAGTTGTTAACGATTTAGAGCAGTAGGTACTCTACTATGGGAGAGCTGAAGTCGTCCCATCTAGGGAAATTTCCCGAGATTTGTCAGCACTGTAGACGGGAAGCACAAGTGTAGGTTCTTTTGTTTGGAATAATTGTTGGACAATTTAGAGTTCTAGGTACTCTACTATGGGAGAGCATTAGGCCGTCCCGTATTGCTGGTCGGCTCCCGGTTTGGTGCACCGCAAATATGCGTGTGTAGAAAAGTGGGTGTAACGACTTAGAGTACTAGGTACTCTACTATGGGAGAGCGTAAAGCCGTCCCGTGAGAAGCAGAAATGAATCGCAAGACAATGTGTGTTTAGAAAAATTGGTTAACGATTTAGAGCACTTGGTGCTCTACTATGGGAGAGCTGAAAGCCGTCCCGAGACAGAAATACTCTCTTTAAAGAAAAAGGAGAGTCACACGACTTAAGGCAATTATGTGTTTAGAAAAAGTGGTTAACAATTTAGAGTACTTAGTACTCTACTATGAGAGATTAAGACAATTATTCCATGCTTGGGACGGTAGTACTGACAATCACCACATTCAACTTGCACGCTTAGTACACATGATCCCAAAAAGCCTTCATGGTAGCTCTGGTTATTTTTCAGGGTTTGGCATCTATACAGAATAGCCTTGTTTTCAAACTAGAAAATAATGGGCACCACAATAGCAAAATTACTTTCCATTCTGTCTTTTAAACAAAAAATACAAATAGAAAGAATTTTTGCAATTGTGGCTACCTAAATACCTCCTCCGAATACATCCACCCAATGAAGGGGCAGAATCTACCAAAAGAGGCACGGATAGAACATAACGAACGAACGAATGAACGAACGAACGAACAAATGAATGAATGAAAAAATTACTCGAGTCGTCTGAAGGCTGTTGCACTCCGGTGACTAGCAGCGGCGACTGGCGACCAAAAAGCGACTGACATTCACCGGCAGAGGCTGCATGCGAGCGACCGAAAATCGCAAACCCGGAAAGTCACGTCCGGATCTCGTTATCAGCGAGAACTCTGGAGACCGGCACCGATCAGCTGATCACCGCCAGCTGAGTGAGCGGAGCGAACTGAGCGCGCCGCATTTATTGTTTTCGTCCGTTCGCGCACAGCGTTCCCAGCAGCGTCGAGGAGTTAGATTCAAGCGAAGAACAAGAGATTGTCATGGCGCTGATGCGCTATGCCATGGTGTCAGCGCTGGCAGCACAGTAGCCTCCAAACAAACAAACAAAAAAATGGCGGCATGTCCACGGGGTGAATTCTAATGGAGAGTGGGGCGAGGCATCCGTCCGTCCATTCGTTCTCGCTTCCGTCCGTCCATGCGTCCGTCTGTGTGACCATCCGTGCGTCCATCCGCCCGTCCGTGCGTGCGTCTGTTCGTGCGTCCGTCCCTGCGTTCGTCCATGCGTCCATCCGTCCGTGCAGCCATCCGTGCGTCCGTCCATGCGTCTGTCTGTGTGTCCGTTCGTCCATCTAGTCAACATTCCAAGTACCACCATCTCGCATATTTTCATCTTATATTCCGCATATAGAAGCACCGCTATCCAGCGGACATTACAAGGACTAAACGAGAGGTGGCACACGCACACTTTTTTAGGGCTTGCGCTTCGTGTCTACTTCCCACCTTTAACCACCTTGAGTTCATTGTATACACTAGTTCACTGTATTCAAGGCACTGCGGCCAAACGCTCGCTAAACGTTTCTAAAACCAAGGAGGTTACGCCCAGCGAGTATAACCTAGCAACCCTTTCTTGTCAGATAGTGCTCAATTTGCTTGCCAATGGCTGCTAACGGGGAATGAGAGACAGGAGAATTCGGCTTTTAGTTAACGCACACGCTGCGAATTTTTTATTGTTCAAGAACGCACAGAAGAAATCTCCCACCGGCACCACCTTACAGGTCAAAGCGTAAGACTGGTTACGCACTACGACTACGACGAGGGACGAACGAGTGCCGCTTTAAGGAGCTTCGCCCCTGAAAAAGCCGGTGGTGGGTGTGACCGTCCCTTCCTTCGCGAGAGTAGGCCGACCTTGCAAGCCGCCTACCTTTCGAGCTGCGCTGAGACACGAGGAGTATTTCCAACAGTAGAAATGGTCCTTGAATTTTACTTGACTTGCCACAGCCTACATTGCAGTGACAAACGCGTCTTGGACTTGGTGTCTTTAGTCGGTGTCAATGCATGAAGCGCAAACACGTTCCAAACGCGCTGTGTTGAAGGCGGTGACAAGTTAAGACAAAAAAAGAAAACGATTCTGAATACTGGAGAATGTTAGTCCACAACCGATTTTCTCTCCATTTTGATGGTGTTTAGCTTTTTGCAAATGCCGCCACGTCAATTCAAATCTTTGCTAGATCTGCTGCGCCCCGCCATCTCCAATCCAAGTACTCCGTGGTGGCCATGGAGCCCCAGACCCAGAGAAACGCACTCGTTTGCAGGAAGCCAGCGCGATGAAAAATGAACATAAAAATGCTGGTGTGACTTCTGGGCATCGCTGATTGGTTCCAGCAGCTTTGCGACTGCCGTAGCTCGACTGAAAAATCGATCAGGAAGCGACTAGCCAAAGCAGTTACTTTGCGACCGTTTGCGACCGTTCGCGACTGTTTGCGACCAGTCGCAAATGGTCGCACTGACCGCTGCCACCAGTGTGAACCAGCCGTTAGAGAGTATAGTGCAAAGAACTTAAAAAAAAACTGCGGAGTATTTTAGAAGCAGGTACATTCGTGTCATATCTCATGTGAACTCCTGCCATCTCACGTCGTCGCTTGGTGGTGGCGAACTCGTATTACCTTCCAGGTTCTCGCTGACCAGCCAGCTGGTCAAAGAACCGGCATAATTCGCTTTCGAAACAACTTTGCCTCTTGTTTGTTTAGCTCATAGACAGCTTCAATATTGCAAGCGTTTTCTCTCTCTTTTTTTACTCCCCTCTCCGCCTCCCCATGTGTAGGGTTGCAAACTGGACGCGTAGTCTAGTTAACCTCCCTACCTTTCCTACATTTCTTCTCTCTCTCTCTCTCTCTCTCAAGCATTCTGCCCCAAAAGAACTTCCGGTTACTTCATTTACCAGCTCGTAACGTCCATACTGAAAGGGCGTTTTCGCGCATTTTTAAGGGCAAGAAAAATCTCTTATAAATTTTTCAGATAAAAAGAGCGTGCGTAATGCTCAATAAAATCTCTTGCAGTTTTTATGCAGCTCAAAAGAACATTTATTAGAATCTATTTTGCCAAATAAGGGAAAGAAAGTGTAGAAAGTCAGAGGGATATTTTTCAATGCTGTCCTTGCTCTTCGGTGTCATTACGGCACATAGAATGGCAGAACGGGAAGTCGTCAAGGGTCAAGGGTCTGTAAAAGCGTCAAAGGACCATGAAGCTAGGGTTATCCTAGATGCTAAACAAAAGAGCATGTTGTGGCATCGTACATCAATCTTGGTTTTTACACGGTAACCTGCATAAAATGTTCCAGCTGAACGCTCACTTACAGTAACTCGTAATGGTAGTCAGCACTCATCTGCTTAAGCGTGCACAGGTTTCTACGTTAAGGGGGCCGGGGAGGGGCGAAGGTACATCGCAGCGTCCCCCCCCCCCCTGTCATATCAGTCGAGGCGTTCAAAATAATTAGTTTCACAATGAATGAAAAAAAAAATGAAAACGAAACGGTACGACAAGTTTCTCACACTGCTTTTGGTCCCTGGCTTTTCGGAAGTAAATATGACAAATTAAAAAAAATTCCCGCGTATCTGTGCGCGTCGCTTCGAATGTCGTCGAAAGACTCTTCTGCGGGCCGTACCACGTGAGTCCTGGTCTCATCCGCGGGAGATATGGCACTGCGTTAGAGTAAATGTATATAGCATATACAGTTGCTATACACTGCGTGAGACAAGATCGCCATCTGGCAGTGGCGTCGGGAAACACGAGCTTGTGTAGAGCCCAGCACCACTACCAGGTGGCAGCACCATATCGTCGGCAGAGAGCTTTTTTGTGCAAGACATTGCATTTTAAGCGCCGCCCAAGAAACACTAGTGCCTTCCGAATTACGTATACCACCGTATTTCCTAGTAAAGGTACAAACCACGTAATGCTTACGCATATTTAAGGTTCAACATGAATACGTACCTGCTCTTTGATCGACACTGTTCACAAGTATGACCACACCCTATGGCTGGGCGTGCTGCCAGTGCTTAAATTGTGGCCGAGTGGCTGGGTCATGTGAGAAACAGACAGAAAGACCGTCCAGAATTTCCGCGTTCAATTATCCCAAGAAAAAACTATCGTCTTTATAAAAAAACAGTTATAACGCAACAACAGAGGGATTAGGCCACCATCATCGTCAAGAATTTGCGTGGACATAACCCTTTGCTTCAAAAAATAAAAGCAGAGGGAGATTTCACACCCTCCCTTCTCACGTGATTAGAAAAACGAGGCATTATCCCTCCCTCCATTATGGGCGTGGTTAGGCTTACGTGTCTGAAGCCCCTATTCTGCCCTCGTACTGATCAGTGATCACCATTGGTTTTATCAATAGCGAAAAACCGATGCCCATTGTGATAGGGGGGCCGTTTAACGAAAGCTGCAAGAGAACTCTAGCCCGAGAATGCTCGCCCATAGCGCGTTGTTCGAAATTGATTACGTTGATCGTTTCACTTTTCGAAACACATCTGATTCAGCATGACGCCTTGTTGTGAGGAGAGGAATCTCATTACAATATATCTTAAACAGCGCTTCTCGGACTTCTGATGAGTGGTCACAGAAGGTACAATTCCTTTGGTGATATATGAATCATCGCGTGTGGCAAGCAAGTAAACCCAGTGGAAGTAAAGTAAGGTAACGCGAAATGGAATGAACTTAATTGGTAGGTGTGGACCACTGCCCCGAAAAATTCGGCGGACGTGTTCACGGGTCTATTCGGCGAACACAGACATGTTAGTGGCATCTATACCATTTGGACACCGCAGGCGATGAGGTTTTTGGCCGCGTTGAGCATCCCTTGGTTGGGCGTCGACTTCGTGAAATCTCCGACGAAGGAGATGGCGATGCCGTTGTCGTTGTAGCCTCGGGTGTGCGCTCCTGCTATACCCCAGCCGCGGCCCTCGTAGACACGTCCGTCGCCGCCCACGAGGAAGCTGTAGCCGACGTCTGACCATCCTGTTTGTTTAACAAAAGAGAGGTAAAAAAAACAAGAACGTAAGGTCACGATTTACGCGAACTATAAGGAGACAAAAAGTTTGCCTCGAATTAAAAAAAAACCATAGTACCCAAATCACCATGCACGCTTGTCACAATAAACCACACAATCAGAAAATGAAGAAGACATGCAGATAGCGCGAGTTGGTGTGGTTTCATAATAAAGACATAAAACAGTGCTTAGACACAGGATGAAAGAAAGAAGTGGCACACGCGGCGCTAAACTTGCAGCTCGTTTATCGAGAAAGGTGTCGGTCGCTTTTAAGGAGGCGGTGCTTGATTGCGCACGCAAACCGGTCAAGATGCATGTAAAATAGCTTCCAGTGGGCTTTTGCTGATTATATACGCATGTTCACGAGAATCGATCCGGCGCGCTATCTCGGCGGCAAAGTTTTGTGTCAGTACCCCTTTAAATTTCTAGGGCTCACTCGTGATTGCCAGCATATTTTCTAGGTTCTTGTGGGGCTTGGCCTTTCACTTGACGCAAAAGAACAACTGAAATCTTTTGTGTCAGCACCCCATTAAGGGACAGGAAGAGAGCAGAGTATATAGGTTAGGGAACAAACGGCTGTTAATGACGTCTTAGTCGAACTCGGGGAAGAAAAACTGGGCATGGGGCAGGGCATATAGCTAGAAGACAAGACAATTGCTGGTCATTAAGAGCTGCAGGCTGGATTCCAAGACAATGCAAGCGTGCGAGGCGGAGCCAGAAAAATAAGTGGCCAGATGAGATTAAGGAATGTTTCAGAGGATAGCGTGACAGCAGAGAGCACGAGAACGGCTTGGTTAGAGAAACATGGAAGAAGTCTTTGCTTTGCAATGGGCAAAGCCGATGGCGATGCTGAGGCGGGCTACCTATAATACCACCCACCTCTCTTGTCCATGTGGTAGTTCTGGTGCCCTCGAATGATCCTACAGCAGCTGGCCTTGTCCTTGCACTGGGATCCCGTGGTGTGGTGAATGAACACGTACTGGGCGGGATTCTTCATGGCCAACCGGTTTCGGGGAGCTCGAGCACCCCAGCCGCTTCGGGACACGACTTCCACGCCTGTACAACGCTGGGCACCTGCGCTCAATTTGGAATGGCACCAGCAACGAGTGGTCACCCTGTGGTCTCCCTTCCTAGCGCATCCAGTAACTACTTCAGGATTACGGAATGTACACGTGAAGCCTATGACTGCTTTACGGAGGAGTTTCAGAGCGACCATGTTGTGCTGTTAACCTTGTTGTTTTGCATCTTCAACAACTGAATGGACAGTGCATGCGGTAGACGCATACACATGAAATCAACGGGTTTAGCTGTTGCATATCATGTTTCAAGGCCTTATTAATTCGCACTACAAGATGCAAAAAGAAAAAAACATTGAATCAACACGACCATGGGCTGTTGAGCCCATGGTCACGGCACCCTCGCGTCTCAGGTATAACAGTCTATGGAGCAAAGATTTTATTACTAGAATAAACGAATTATTTTTGCTAGGCATATGTCACTGATTCGTTAGAGGCTCTACGAGTGCGTCTCGCCTCTCGTAAGCGTATAATGTCTTCTCTTGAGTCCAGGTGTAGCTCGACATGGTGTTTTTATTAACCGTGCCTTCTGGTGGTTCACTGGGTGCGGTCGGTCGTAGTTGGCAGACGTTGGCGTTGAGGCCGAAGCTGGTAAACCCGAAAACCAAAACAGTGTTTCTATAAGTCTTCTGAAAAGTAGAGATACTTCTGCGGGTCATAGTTTAAACTGACTGTTATATTGGACACGTGACAGCCTAGACATACCGTAGCAGCTTATAGAAAGTAGGGCAGGGATCTCAAACTTGCCTTAGCAGGCGAGATGCAGTCACGAAATTTAGACCCGCAGTGGCCAGGCCAGTTAAAAAGGTTGTCAAGGCGAAGAAGAGGAAAGGCGGTGAACAACATATCACCTAAAGCAGCCATATAACGTAGGGATCATTTCAGAAGGTGGTTTCGGGTCAAGATTCGGGAAGCCTATAGACACTGATTCAGATATGGACACCGATAGGGAAATATGGAGATTCTGTTTCGTGGTTTTGCCCCAACACATAGTGACTGCGTGGCGGGCCTGACAAAATAAATGCTTTGAACCAGTCAGCGTCACTGTAGTTTGCTCGAACGAAGTTTCGTCGCAACACGTGAGTGAATAACTCGAGTAGCCACTTAACAATGCCAGATACATATTATGCGAGCCACCTTCCCCCGCCCTCAAGGGTCGAGAAACTCGGGTCAGGCACTATTACGTGGACGCGGCCCTCAAGTGGACAAAACCACTAAGTGAATGGTGCGCGTGGGAGACGTTGCAGCTATCAGCAGTAAGAGCTGCAAGAGCAATAACCGCAATGCCAATGGTCAAAGACATGCCGGCACCCCACCCAACCACGACCAGCGCGCCGCAACACTATGCCGCAAGGCTGCCCCCCCCCCCCCCATCCCGCGACGTGGCTACCCAGCGAGCAGCCATCCACTGTGTAGTGATAGACATGGGTGGGGAGATGGCGGTAGAGGTCAACGGCTCCGGTAGGGTGGCTCCGGCGCCGCCATGGAGGAAGGAAAAACTGGGGAGAGGCCATGGTCCATGGGTGCCGCCGCTATCGCCGCCTCTGTTGCTGCGGCAACCGAATATGTGGCGTAAGTATGCAGCGAGTAACCAGACGATACGCTGACTGATGTGCCAATAGTTCCCGGGCACGCACGACGAGGGGCTTGGACACTACAGGAAGAAATATTCGGTACCCCACGTGCGTCTGGCAGGTCACGGTGCAGGCGGCTGTAGGCGGGCACCAACCTTTAGAACCGACACGGCGTGTGGAACGAGCTGCACCCTTCGAGGCCTGGCTGCCCGTGGTGCGCGCACTAACGGGCCGATGTTGCCAATGCACTTGGGAATGCGCGAATAATGAAGATAGATGTCTTTGTCTTTCTGTAAACATATATTCTTTTGCGTGATTATTTTTTCTCGTGTTACCCCCCTGCAATAATGCCCTCGTGGCGCTGCAGGTACTTGTATAAATAAAAATAAAAAAATGAATAGATCATGAGGAAGGACGACGACAAATGAAAGATCCTCTGAAGCGGGGCACCTCGCTCAGCAATGGCGGGCCGCCCTCCTCGACGAGGCCCCGGGTGACAAGGAATGCGCCATCCAGCGGGCTAGGGCCGTCTCCGAGAGCCTCTGAAGATGTGACTCGAGCGATGGATCTCTGCTGGTATCCCAAATCCAAGGTCATAGTAACAACCGTTGGGCAAATAAAGTTAATCCACGACATCAAGCCTCGCCGTGGTGGTCTAGTGGCTAAGGTACTCGACTGCTGACGCGCAGGTCGCGAGATCAAATCCCGGCTGCGACGGCTGCGTTTTCGATGGAGTCGAAAGTGATGTGGGCCCGTGTGCTCAGGTTTGGATGCACGTTCAAGAACCTCAGGTGGTCGAAATTTCCGCAGCCCTCCACAATGGCGTCTCACGTAATCATATGGTGGTTTTGGGACGTTAAACCCCACATATCGATAATTACGTGAAGTTTAATACACCACGAGAATTCCGCTGCATTTACTTCTCAAAGGCGGATGCAGCCCTGTCCAACGGGTGCGCGCTCCGGAATGACACCATGAGCCTGACGGCCACTGACCCAGCCATCTCTGCGGGACTGTCTATTTCTTTAGTCCCGGAGGCCATCAGCGGCCGCGCTCCCCACTACACCACTGGACGGGAAGACGCACTGCTTCTGATGTGGTCTGAGAATTGAGTCGATGGGTGCCTAAGTTTCGCGAATGGCTTTCAGCGATGTACAATACGTACTATTGCGATGAAACGAAAATGCGAACAGCGTAGAGCTTGGCTTTCGGTACAGTCAAACTTCAACTCGTCTTAAGTACGAAGGAGTCTGGTTACGAAATATTTGGCAAGTCTGAGTAAGTGTGAGCCTTATGCGAAAAAAAAAAAGAATCTTAGCTCGAGTTTCTTTTCTTTCTTCTCTTTTTGCCGACCTCTGCGCATGGCAGTCATGCGAGACAAGGCAAAGCGTGCTTTGCCTTGTCTTGTTTATGATGCCTTGTTTGTCCTTATTTATGATGTATAGGGTCAATTCCAACTGGTATTCATCTCAATGGACCGATCGACCACTTCATTTACTTGTGCCGTCACGGGAACAAACTGGTGGCGTCACAAATCACGCCGACAAGAGAGTAAGCACGAGGAGAGATTAGCTCGCTAACTTATCACTCCACTTTAAAATTCCGAGGTAATTTTGCGACCCCAAGGATATGCTTTCCGGCAAAGCATTTTTTCGTTCTCAGAATGTTTCTCCGGTGTTCTGTAGTAAGAGCTGCACGAAATTGTGCAAGAACCGGTACTCACCGATCGTCGCAGCCTGTAGAATGGCTCCAAGGACCGCAAGCGCGAGCAGACTCTTGTTGCCCACGTAGTTGTACTCGGACCATCGCACCATTTCGTTGCTCGCGGGTGATCGCGGGGAAAAGATCGCCCCTGTATCGCGTGAACAGCACCACCGCCTTGCTCGGCGACTACCTGTTTGAGTACTGTCCTTATAGCAATGACGCTAATCCATGCACCTCCGCTCGGAACTCGTTCTCACCGCACGCGAGTCACCGGATGAAGCGTCTCTTCCCGACTGTGTGTTGTGCAAGCGTGTCCCTTGCACTCTGTACCCGTGGAAACGTGGCTTTACTCGACTTCCGTATGGAGGATGCCTTGCGTGACCCGGGCATGATCCGCAGACCGCGCCCACACTTTACTTATACATGCACAAGGATGCGCGAAATTAAGATGTAATGAAAAAAAAACGTTTAGTAAGGGCAGCATTACTTCGCGCAGCCGGCATCTGCAAGCCAACATCCCCTCGAAGTCTTGCTTTCTGCCTCACATTATCAGCTTTATTCTTTTTTTTTTTGCGCAAGGTATTGGGTCGCCTTGCCTGTACGCAGGCTCAGATGTGACGTGACGATCACATCTTGCTTTACTAAACAATTTTTTTAAAGGAAGTAATTTAGTTGTGCTGTGCAATGCCCTTTCCAAGCTGGCCATTCCTTCATGCGCGCAACGTGGAAAGTGGTTTTTTTTTTTGTTGCTCTGATTCTCTAATAAGAACAAAATTAGACAGATCCCACGTGCCTCGGGAATCGACGTTATGCGAAGCATGCGGAAGGTGACCGTGTCGTAATTTTTTTTTTTTTGATTGAGCGACACGTCATGAAATCACGCTGAATATATGTACATATGTTGCACGTGTAGGCACATGTTTAACGCTTACAAATGCTTACATAACCAGTTGTTCGCACTTGCGCAACGATGCCAAATGGAACGTGAGTATTAGCAACAACAGAAGCGATATGCTTATACGAAGCGCTGGTGCTCACAAGGATGGTAGCCCTGGGCCCTGGTACATAAATCAACTTCAACCTACAGAGTGTGCGAGCGTGTGCTGCTTAATGTGCTGTGTTTATCTCTCTTACCTCTCTCCTCTCTCTCTTTCATCTCCTCCATTCCCCTCCCATGCGCAGGGTAGCAAACCGGCTGCCTATAGAATGGTTAATCTCCCTGCCGTTCTTTTCCTCCTATTTTCCTTTCCTTTCATTTCTTTTAAGAAACTAGTTTTCTTTAAGAACTTCAGCCAATGTCACCTAACTGCAATTGACGTTAGCCCGGCGTGACGGCTGTGTGATAGGAGTACATAATGTTTATGAAATTTGCGATATGGGATTTTATGGCTGTTATTGCTTTCCGAGCGAGCAAACAGGTCGAGTGAGGGTGTAGCGGATCAACCACCGGGGAATTCCCCGCGGCCAACACGCACGCACAGAGAGAGATATACCTAGGGTGTCACGTGCGTAGGGGAGGGTGACTACGTCACCAAGAGGCCAAGCTACCACTCAGGAAAAGGAGGTCATCTCCGCATGAGTCGTTCCGCTTTATCGACTGCCGCCGCTTCACTCCGACAGTGGGAAAGTCGTGCCATGTCATATACACGCTGGCAGCGATATACTATACATGGAGCGAGATTACATACTTGCGTCAAATGTGACGTCCGCTTGAACGAACGTGAGTCGATACCTCGACGAATGCAGGCGACAACGTTTGCAGCTTGGAAAAAAATATTCCGCGCACTTTATTTGCGACGTAGATACAGACAGTACAGACAAGAAAGAACCACACCGCTGCAGCCGTTAACTATACTGTATACCTTTATTGTAAAGCTATCAAGATGTTTACATGGTGACAGTCAAATCATAACGCCTCCACTGTCACCGCGAGCGTGGGCTAACAGACAGCTATAGGCGAACATCGACTCGTTAGGGAGTTTTCAAGTAGGGACCCCAATCGTTTTGGGGCCCCGAATAAGGAGTGTCGAGGCCACTGCGCATGCTCGAGACGCATATATACATGTGTAGCGAGAGAGGAAGACGGGACGGCGGCCAACGTGGTCGTGTCGTTCTCTCGCCACTTTATTCCACGCCTCAAACGGAGCCACGGTGGCTGTCCACGTCCGACACACCAAGTGCGCTAGCTTGTTCTAATCCTCGCGCAGCTCGAGCTAGTATCAGCTGCGCGAGAGGCGCGGCGCGGTGATTGAGAAATGATGATGGCGATGATGGCACTACACATGGTTTGGGTATTGCGTTGGTGACGCTATTTCTCGAATTTAGCGGGAGCCCCAAAGACTGCACCCAAAAGCATTTGCGTCAGACAAACTTGACGGCATCCACTGAAGTGGAGGCTGTCGGCCAAGAAGTGTGTCCGAAGCGCTGCAACCCTACTCGAAAACTCTTAGCTCCTACTTGACCCAGAGCGAGCACGCGCAAAGTGCTCTGGGGCCCGGCTAGACTTTTCGTTCGGAGTCTCTATTCGAAAACTCTCTATTCTTGCACATAAGTTCTGCGGAATTCGCCCTATATAGAGCGCTGCCAGTTGCTATAGCTTCCTCGTAGGCTCAATCGGCAGAGCGGCCGCCCCGCATAGGCGTTGGTCCAGGATTCGAACTCCGGACGAGAACGAATTTCTCGGCAAATAGGACGCTTCTGAGACGTCCGAACGGATTTCGTTGTAGTTTCGCAGCTGCGAACAGATGGTTGTCAATTTTACTTTCTTTAATTCTAGGCCCCCTCGCAAGATTCCACGGAATTGTTTTTAAACTTCGTTTCGTATTCGAACATATTACTGTATCGATGTATGAGACGTGTTTCTTTCCACAGATGTGTACTTGAACGTAAGCCTTGTATCATTTACGCTGTTTTAGCTTTTCCGAGTTGACAAAGTATCGCAATAAAAACTTCCCCCCATAAGCTTCAAAAGAGTAAACTATATCGTTCATTTTTCATCATACTGGTGTCGACACCACCTCTTCCTCTCGGTAAGCTTATTCTCATGAATTTCACTCAACGAAAGGTGGACTGCAGATGGCTACTGTTCCTGATGTATCCATGTAATGGACGGCCAATTTCGGCCACCGCTGATTGGCTGCAGCCAGGTGAGCAGCATACCCTCTGTTTTCGGTTCTTCTATCTACACGTCATTATGACGTCCCACAGCCTTCACAACACTCGACGCCAACCAGAGGGATGGAACGAGCATCAACGCAACTAACGCATCCTCCTGCATGCTGTCTACTTTTGGCTACATAAGTCGTGAAGGCAGTGCCGGTATATTTAACCTTAATTTTATGCTCGCTTTAGCCCTAGAATTAGACGTAGTGCGGCGGCGGCACCTATCTAACGCACCTATATATATATATAAAGATCGGTACGCATTCCCTGCAATGTTCACAAGCCTCCGTGACACAGCCTCTGAGACTTTGGAGCATAACCTGCTCCTGCTTGTTAAAAAAAGGTGTGTGACTGTACGTTTTGCCCACTTTCTTCCTTGTAACGCTGACGCTATGTATGCCATGCGAATGTGGTGCCTCAATGTAGTCAAGTGAACGATAAAGCCGCAACTTGCAGCCGAATGCACTCAGCCATAAACGGGTATTGTCCATTGAATGAAAAGTTCGAAAATAGCTCCTCATACTCGCGTCTAGGATTGTTCAAGAGTACTGGGGTCAATGTTTAGACTGATTGATGTCATCTTCCGTGCAGGCGTCCACGCGTGATGTTAGTAAAAAAAAATTATGAAGTCCGGTGTTCTATAGTGTGAAAGAGAGAGGTTAATTCAGTAAAGGAAAAGACGCAACTTCTGCAGCCCTGGTTGGGAGCACAGCTCAGCGCCACGCTCTATAGGCAAAAAGTAGTGGCTGGTAGCTTTACGGACGTTCTTTCCTTAAAACTACTTAATGCGCTTCGGCGAGACCCTTAAAGAAGCATGCACCATCGCGATGATGCCCTAATGGCGTGCTATAGTCCCATGGTAGTTCGTTCTCCATACGTTGTTCTGCTTGTACTCGACGATGTCCGTCGGCGAGACATTTAAATCCAAGTGGTTCCGTTGCAATGACGCGTCAATGTGGTGATGTATGTTTGACTCCTTCAATCGATGTTCGTTCGGCTGTGGCGGCTTCTCGCCTTTTGTTTCGCACGCGTACGGCTCCACTCTCCCGCCGAAGCGCCCACTGACCTCCACTAGTGGAGGTCAGTGGAAGCGCCTCCACCAAGAAATGTAGGAGTACAGGGCATCGCCGGGACATGTTCTGCAAGCGGCGTTTCGGTGACCATGGATCGTGTAGTCGCCACGGATCTTGCCCTGCATGAAATAGGCCGTGTAGTGTTTCGTATACTAGAAATACTATTCCCTTTATTAATGCTGTATGTTTAGGCGTTCACTCAAACGCGAAATTGTGCGTCGGCAGCGATAGGCGTGCGCAGAGTTCACATTTGGGGGGGAGGGGAAGGTTTCTTTACAGCACCCCCCTTCCCTACAATGTCAATGTATAGGGCTGAATTCGAGCCCCCCTCTCGCCTTCCTCCCTTTTACGTCAATGTGTTCGCCCCTCTGCCTCTCCTTCCCCCCTCTCCCGTCCGCACGCCTATGTGGGCAGCATCCAGCGGTGCTTTAACACTCGACTGATGCAAATATCACCATCGCGTTGTGACGTCGTCATATAGCGCAACCACGCGGTCACGCAGCACCAAAATGTATGACGTCACCGTATAAATTCGCATACAGTGACGTCACGGGATGAGCTCATCACGTGGCATTATCGCTCGCTCTAAGGCTTATGGTCACGAGGGCAGTAGAAAGCTTGCAGTGTATCCGACCCTGGAGGCAGTGCACAACGTCGTTAGGTGCAGAAACATTTCGGAGAAGGGTGGAAGAGGACCAATACGTCGACTGCGAAGGAAAGGAAGTTCGTGGCTTTCGCCTTCCTATCGTCTTGGGGGAATGAATGAAAAACACTGCGAGTTTTTGTTGTGTTTTTTTTCGTCAGGAGTGTGACTTCTGATTGGAGCAGTGGCTACTCCACCACCAACAATCGACAATCCATATATGACATGTATTCAGGGCTCTTATGCAAGTGTTCAAGAACCGATCGCTGATGGAACAGCTACTCTTCCCGTTACCCGCCACAGTTTTTACGGCAACAAGTGACTTAGAGAAAGCTGAATTAAAAACAAAAAGAAAATCTCAGAAACAAGCGTGCGAATGAATTATATACATGCGAAATGCAGTACCAGAAAGCAAAAGCGGTGTTACGACGACTTCACGATGCGTGTTATATCTCATTTGTCGAGCCGCTGCTGGTGCTACTACAGTTTTGCTTTCGACTTGTCAGTTACCCCCCAGGTTTTGATTTAAGATATAGATGAATATAGATCGACCTACAATCGTGTAAGTACTGCACTCGTTTACTGAGGAGGTGGCGTCTATTTTTCACTCTCTTCTTTCCCTTCCCCTCCCCTGCACCGACGAAGCTATATACTGCGTGCTGCCTTAATGGGTTACAGAAGTAAGACGCTTTGCTCTCCTCACGCCACCACTATTACTATTAAGTGGAAAAGCAATTTGTTTCCGATGCAACATGATCCCTGAGTGCGCACCTACGTTACCAAGGCAACGCCGCACTGCAACAGTCTCGCGAGTGCCCCCATTGCTGCAGGGAGTCGGTAGGTGGCGCGAGAAGTCGCCGGTGAAGGCCGCCGCCAGCGAATCCTGGTTGTGCCCCTAGGTGCGGTCCTAACTTCGAGACAAGTACACCCTCCCGTCGCCGCCGATGACGAAGCTGTAGCCGAGGTCGTCCCAACCTGCGAAGAGGCAGATGCGCGTTCGGTAAATGAAACACTCAACTATAGTCAGTACAGCTTCAATGTGGCTATCAGCGACATGTTGTGTCCCTGTCTTTGTCTGTATCTGTTGCGTTGTACACACAATGAAGGTGTAGGTCCGTGTACCAAAATACTTGGGAAATGAGCAAACAGTCAAGCCTTGGCGCATTCAGTGTGCGGCGACGAACGAGTGTGAATATCTTCCGCGTTATTGAACAGGGAGCAAGGGTGATGTTGAGGGGCCCAGCATGGTATCGATTTGAAGGCATCCAACATCGTGGTGCGAAAATTAACTGAGGCGTATTACGTCATGTCACAAGCAATGACGAAGCTGAGTAGCCGGATATTGACGCTACAACAACCCGTCCACGAATATACAGACAAGCTCAAACAACTGACCACATGCTGCATCTTTCGTGGCTTTCACCTTGGCTCAAGTTGAGAGTCCGGTATTAGACTCAGACTTTAACAGCGCCTGTTCAGAACATAGGCAATGATCTCAGAAATTGTGCCACGTAGATAGCTGTTTTTTTGTTTATTTTACGATAAGTTTATTGTTTAAGCTCTCAAAATGGTAAAATAACCTCCCATAGTTCCTCATTTTCTGACACTTGCTTTTTTCTCGGTGGCAACGCATGTAATGCTCGCGAAGGGAACGGATGATGACTTACATCTCTGGAAGCAGTCTAGAGGCATTTATTGCTATTTAGTGCATGAACTCCAGGCTTGCGCATAATGTGCTACAGAGAGTAGCAAGCATCTGGGAACATTAAACACCCACGCTTTTAATAGTAGCTCTTGGCAAAGGCTTCTCTCAAAAATAGCCTTTCAGTTAATCAAAAGAGCAACTCTCCGTCAAGCGAAGGCCACGGTGACAAAATGACCTTCCGCGGAATGCTAGCATGAGCTATCTGGTACGGTTCTGCAGACGACGCGCGAGCGCCTCGATCAAGTAGTCGCGAACGACGCATGCCTTTGAAATGAGCTGGGTGTCCAAAACAACTTCACGATTCTCGTTTCCAAGTTTCCAATACATCTGAAACAATGCGAATACGACCAAAAACCAAGCCGTAAAGAAGCTTCGAATGCAGCCGTGGCATTCGTTTGCACGAAGGACGACGCGGCGGCATCTCTACTCCAACTGCGGCGACTGGCGGCAACACGCCGCACTAGCACCGACAGCCGCTTCCCATTGAAATCCGCGCATTCGCCCGGGCACTGAACAAATAGAGGCGCTGCGCAGTGCTTGGTTCGATTTGACCCCGCTAGATGGCCCAACCTGTCCAGTTCTACCCAAGGAGTATTTAAACCAGGCGAAAATTTTGAATCACTCGCGCCATTTTCTGTATTAACGTACGACGCTTCTTTTTTTTATGAACCTAACAGAAACGAACAAGCGGCATTTTAATACGTCTCTTGATGCACGGAATGTTCATTCAGTTAGTTCAATCGCTAGTGAATTATTATTGTAGGCTGTAACTCTCATGTCATCCGGATCATTTTGCATATCTCATACTCGCGGCTCATGGGTTCTCGCGCATTTACCTGAATGTCTTGGCAAGTAGCAAACTGCTGTTGATAATAATGCCGTTTCAGATGTTGTCATACAATGAGCTTTCACTCGGACACAAAGTGTTAGCTGACTTTAGTGTCCCGTTCTTTGTGTCCCGTTAAGGGTCCCCCTATTCCCGTGCACTAACACATTCGCGCGATTTCTGGCATGTGTACTTCGCCCTACTTTTCGTAGCAATACGTAGCAACTAAAACTTGTTTTAATAATAAAAAAACAAAGCAAAACCAATACAACAATGGCAAATATACAGCTGCGATTCAAACTCGGGCTTTGCAAGTGGAGGCGCGCAGGCTACCGATCGCAACGCCACGAGTGACGTGACCTTGTGAAGGCTTCACTTTCTGCGTACATTGGTGCTACGGCCGTTCCGCGCCCTCCTTTGTTCTATAGTATACTCTAATATGGCGATGCCGAAACAAGTCATAACTGGCATCGCTTCCTAAGGATGATGGCTCATAGTTATATGAAACCAGAGAATTGTGCACAACCCCCTCTTAATCAATTCGAGAAGTTAGGACTAGCAATCGAACAATTCACGGCGGCCTCTCGTAGATTGATGCCATGAACACACACCGCAAGTTTTTATTTATTCACTTATTGCAGAGAACCACGTTTCGTCTGCATAGAAATAGACTCATTCACACAGTCTATATACACTGCACAATTCACAGCGCGATAACAGCAAAAGTAGGGAAAAAAGCACGACAACGGCGACGCATCAGGCGCTGGTTAAGAGCGGAGTCCTCTTGTTGGTTTCCTAACAGCAGCAGCACAGACTGTTTTGTTCTATAGAGTCAGTTGGGATCGTCATTGGACACAACGGGAAAGGCCCTAGCGAAGGCTGGAGCCCGCCCGCGGCACTCGTCGCGGCTAGCCTGAATCTTGCGATCCGTGCTGCGGTCCTCAGGTGAACGCCGAACGCGCCCTTCGTAGGACTTGTCGTTCATGGCGACGCACAGCAGGCAGAGGTCGGCGGCGGCGACCTCGACGCATCTTTCCTTCCAGGAAAAGTATTTCTCGTAGGCCTCCGGACTGGACAACAAGACGCGCAGGTGGGCGACCATGTTTCCCAGAGAGCCGAAGTCGACCGAGTGCACAACGGAGAGCCACGGATAGTCGAGCGTCTCGCCGCGCGGCGCCAGGATGACCGGAACGATGTCGAACTCGAAGGCGTCGTGGATCAGTTCGTACGGGCTGTGAAAGCAGTCGCTGTCCGTAGCGACCACGACGAAGTGGTAGTGGGCGGCCATCTTTCTCACGCACTCCCGCCGTGACCCGCACGTCGAGCGTCCGCAGTCGGTGATGAAATCGACGCTTACGTTCTGAAGTCGTCCTTCGCTTGCCGCGTCAGCATCCAGGGCCTTCGCGAGCTTGACGACGTCCACGCTTGACTTTTCGCGCATGTTCCACTCGCACTGGCCCACGATCCAGACGGCGTCCTTACGTGCCCCGTAGTAGCCCAGGACGTCCCGGTGGCGACGAGCGACGTCGGCCACCGTCGTCGTCTTGTTTGCGGAGGAGGCTGCCACGACGTCGTCGCCACAGCGCAAGGCCTTGTAAGGCGTCTCGACGTCGGAGTCCTTCCGGTGACCCATGGTCCAGTCGAACTCGGATTTCAGGAACCTTCAGATGAGTGTGCCCGCTCGTGTGGACGCCCCACAGGTTCTCGGGGTACGTTCCCGATCCGCCCACAGGCGAGACGTGCTTCCTGGTCCAGAGGACCCACTTCTGGAACCCGGGCCGGCGCGTCGGCATGTCTTCGGGGCTGACCTGTTCCGCCTGGAACACGACGGCGTCGCTCCATTCGAGCGTCGACCGGTTGTCCGTGACTTCGCAGCTTATCCACCTTTCGTCATGATCACCCGCAGAGTGAAGCGGACAGTACGTGACGCTGGAGGACGACGACGACGGCCGCCGGCGTTCCTTGGCGTCGTCGTGCGAGGGCGTCGGCGTCTCGGTGCCAAAGAAGGATGCGTGGCATGCCGTTGTCCATTTTCCGGTGCCGCCAGTCGGACCAGGGTGGCGACGCCATCTCCAGAGACGGATCGGGCTCGTCTAGTCGCAAAGAGAACAGTACCAATTGTAAGCTCACGTAAAGCACGGCGAGCGCGCCGAACAGCTTGAACGTTCGAATCTGATCCGGCGACAGCAGCGGTCCGAAAACCTGGCGCTGCTGCAGCGGCTGCTGTGCCGGGCGGAGCTGCCGTGCCGGGTCGCGCCGCGCTGCCGGGACGTGCCGCTGTGCAGGGATCCGTTGGAGTGGTTCAATGTAGACGCCATCGTCCCCGTTGTCGGCAGGTACAAGCTGTCCCGACGGAGGCATAGTGGTTGCCTAGCGCTGACGGTGCGTAAGGTCCGGTCACGGTCAGCCTCGCAACCCCTGGAAAGGACGTAGGAGAGTAATTAAAAAAAGTGTTGGAGAGTAATTAAAAGAAAAGAGTAATGAAAGAAAAAGCCACCGACGGTTACAATAGTGTTTAATGCGAATTCTGAGCTCATCATGTGCAGGTGCTATTACAGCAACGTCCACATACCTCGACAGCCCACAAGGCAGTGAAAGCCCTGCTGTGTTTCCTGAGAAAGACAGGCTTGTGTGAACGCCTTTGGCATGCCGTAGAGTTCTACACGCTGCAGTGAAATTACTGTCAGTCTCTCCCCCACCCTTTTTTTTCTTTTCCCTCTCTTCCCTCTTTCTGGCCTTTCTTGTCCCCTTCCCTAATCCCCCGGTGTAGGGTAGCCAACCGGATGTCTTTCTGGTTAACCTCCCTGCCTTCTCCCTTTTTGTTGCTTCCTCCTCCTGAGCTCATCTTTTTGTTGGGGCAAAGTCATGTGTGTTAGAAGTTTTGGCTATCTCGGCAAGAGTTTAACATTCCCTACATATTGCCACCGAAACTGTCAGCACTCGAGTCCTACGCGCACACCACTCTGTGCACTATAGGCTTTCACGAACCAAGTGAAACGCCGACACTCCCGTCACGACAAGCGAAGTCAGCCGTGGTGCACGGGCTATTAGTGCATAGATTTAGGACAGCGTAAGGCAAAGCTTGGCGTTAGCGTTGCGCATGCATCGTACGCTAACCTCTCGTGGGCTCTTGTTAACTAAAGCTAACCCTGCGCCCACAACACCCGCAAGCTTTGCGCAGGGTGTTCTAAAATAGAGAGTTTTAGTACTGCGTACGCTGCGTACGTGGCAGCGTCGCGTACGTAAGGACGCCACGTTCTGCATAGTGCGCATGCGCAGACGGCAACGCGCATATATCGCATTACGTACGTAGCCGCTACGTACGCACGCATGAGATGCGTGCGTGCGTACGTATGAGGTGATCGCGCCGCTCTCGAAAGTTCGCGAGAGCGCGAGACTTCGTTTTGCAAAATGGCGGCATCGAAGGCAAGCACAGACCGGCTCTGTGGCTTGAAATATGGCCATAATCTGGCTATAACACTTGGATTGGCTCACATTGGCTGCCAACAACACGTGCTTCTATTTTGATCTACCAGATGGCGCAACACGCTTCACGCTCGTTACGTACGCGGGTACTACGGCGTACTAAAAGCCGATTAGTGGCAAACGACGCCACGTAACGCAAGGCGCTTGCGTGATGCGTACGTAGCACCATTCCGCAGTACTAAAACTCTCTAATGGCAGGCGCACGAGCTTCGACAGAGGACGCAGCGCGCGTTCTGGAGGAGTGTTGGACGCGCTGCGATGGCCTTCGATCGGGAGAATGGGCATTTAGGTAACTTTGGAAGTGAATTATACTATATTCTAAACGTTTGCTACGTCCAACCGTACGTGTGCAGTGTCCTTGCATACAGAGGAAACAGACAGTAGGTTCGTTATGGCCTGGAAATCTGATGGTACCAGCCGAGTACACAAAGGGAAAAGCGATTTTTCGTTCATTATTCAATTACAAGTCGACAATACCGACAACGCCACCCTAACCACGAAAAGACGCTTTATAGGCGAGAAAACGCGTGAAATGAAAGTGTGCATGGCGACGCCACCTTGAAATTCCCGCAGCAGACGCCATGAAATCAGATTTTGACCGAGCCTAACTAGGTCATACGTAGTTAATCCGAAAAAAAAAAATGCCTCACATCGTACTGCGAGGGGCCAAAGACACAGCACATCAAGTTTCGGTCAATTGGATTGCGCCAATATCTCCGAAATGGGAAAAATAACGTTTGAAATGCGTAACGCCCCGCGCGGAGACTTCGGCGCGAAATTCGAACAAACGACACTTTGACCTTCTTTTCTCATCTATTATTAGGCGTATGAGAATGAAATTAACGCCATTATAGTTGTCAAGAGTGCAACCGAGCAATCTAAGACGATTGATTGTTTCAATTTGGTGTCCCTTTTAATGTCTGCATTTTTCAAGGCAGTGCGACCACCTCATCTCATAGCATGCATGGGCCGCGTGCTTGCCTGAAACGCGATAGAGAAAAATCAAGTGTTCGTTAGAAAGGACTCCTGTGAAATGTATGCGCAAGCGCAGCAAATGTTCGCGAATGTAAAAAATGTAAATGGAACGATTCTGCCGTAATTGCCCAATACGAACGAGCTCAAACGATCGCGCATTCATTGTTACAAAAGCGGTCCGAGAAAACGGAGCCCTCTGCTTCTTGTTTCAACTGAAACATCTGTAGCAAGCAGTATCAAGTCTCAGCGTCACCCAAAACATCGGAAGCAAGCGTACACAAAATTAAAAAAAAAGAGTAATTATCGACTTACGTCGCAAGCCTCCCTCGGTAAGAGTCCTTCCTCTCAATACGGCGCACCTATCTGCTTCCCAGTTTGACGTTCTCTTTTCCTCGTGTAACAAAGAAGCCTGCCTCCTTTTGCAGCGTCTTTTGAGCAGCCAACACCATAGCACGTCGGCGCCGCGCTGATGTCGCTCCGCAGTAGATAAAGAGCGTAGTTTCACTGGCAGGGCAAATATTAGCCCGTGGTTCTACACTGACCCGTGGTGTCGTTCTTCGGCGAATGAAGTTCACGGCTGTCATCTGAGGGTTGGGCAGGACGGTCACACATATTTAAAGCAGCTCTGCGGGTATGCACTTAGCCGTGTATTCACTTGGGGACACTCATCAGAGTACTTTGGCGGATCCTGACAAGCCTTTCGTGAACATTCTGGGAAGTGGCACCTTGAGTGCGCGTGCCTCTGTCTATTTCTCTCACTGATTGTCCGTCGTTCTCTTCGCGCCTCGGATGATCGAAGAATATAGACGATTCTGTTGAGAAAGAACACGCACCCTCCTCTTTCCCCTTCGGTGTGGCACGAATTCTTCACTGTGCACGATAACAGCCTCTCGAAAAGGACACCTCACCCGATGCACACACGGGGAAGGAGATGAAAAGGGGACGCAGAAAGGCAGAAGCAGGAACGCACTAGTCTGCGTGGGGTTTGAAAGCCGCGCGCCAAGGCCGGAAGCGTCGATGAAGGCGGCGCGGCAGCGGTCACTGCAACCGGTGGGATGGAGGATGTCTTCGAGTGTCTCGCAAGCCAGGCCGAGAAGACGGTAGCGGTAGGCTAGCTGCTTCCTTGTAGAGACAGATGTGGGGCACTCGCACAGCAGGTAAAAAAGGTGTTTCAATTGTTCCTCAGTAGACGCAAGCTGACGACGCTGCAACTACCTCCTTGCAACCGTTGTTTTCGTTCTGCCGTACACGCCAGTCCGAACATATCGAAGGAAAAAAGAGGAGGGTACGCTATCGCCGGGGTATTACTTGGGAGAGGCGAAGGCTTGGAGGATAAGAAGGAGAGGAGAGAGGCGCTAGCTACACTCTACTCTCACCATCCGAGTTGTCATGAAAGGAGAAAACAGTCCATCGGTGACTTCGTAAAAGTGCCGCCAGATACCGCCATGTGTTCCACACTAGGTTCTTTTCTGCGCGTTCGGTTTGTTTTTGTTTACTTTTTCACTCGCGGCAGTGGCGCCCTCTCGAACTTGTCACGTAAAGCATTCAAATCGGTTGCGCCGCCACAGCCTCTGCTGCCGCCTCTCGCACTTCTGATTTTGAGGTCGAATACTGTAGTATAGTGATACCCAATCCAACCGTGACCGCGTGCCAAAAATTTCTGTTTAGAAAGTGTCAAAAGGGGAATGGGTGGGGTCGATGGTCTTCAGCTGGAGGACAATCAGTCCCCGCCTTTCTTTTTCATTTCTTTTTTTTTTCATTTCGTTCACCCAATAGGTTATGCCGCAAATGCCATCGCCCGACGTCGGAACGGTCACCAGGTGGCACCTTCGGGGCGTTGAATGAGTACACCGGAAGCAAACGGGAAGACCACACGACAGCTTGCGCCCATTTCTATAGCACAGATTGCTCAGTGACGAATTCCGCCAAACTCGTACAAATTTTCGATTATTGTAAGTTGCTTTTTCGACAACTTCACACACACTTTGGCCAAGACGACGGTGACCTGTGCAACTTATTTCCAAACTACAAAAGCGTGCGAATGTGCGAAAAGTTCTGCGAACACCAGGGACACGTGTCGTCATAAGCGCGAGCGTGTCAGAATACGCGAAACTCTATACAGAAGATAGCCACGACAAAAAACAAAATCTCTCGGAAAAAGTTACAGCAGTC